TGTCGATATCTAATTCCCAATATCTAAAGTTGTATCAACTGCCTTTCAGCTTTTAATGGGCAACTGCATTGTAAAATAGTTCAAGACTTATGTTTTATTGACAAACCCCGATTGTAATGTCTCCGATGAATAAATTACTTAAGAATATGGTAGTTTTGTGGTGAGTTCTGAATTAACTCAGCTAAAACCCAATTAAATTTAATCTGCATTGCAAATAGATTCCATTATTTTCTTGCATTGACCAGAGTAGTTGGCATGTACAGTGGAAATGCAATTGTGCACTGAGCTCATGAAAGCTTAGTGTCCCATCTTGCAAAGTTACACAATGATGCTCCTTCTCATCAAACACCAGCTCTTGCTCTTGTAAGTGTAGTTGGAGACTCATCAACTTTATGAAAGTCAGAAAGTGGAATTTATTAGAAATCTTTGGGGAAGTCACCAGGAGAATTGACACAAATTTCTACCTTGAATTATCAACTAACAAATTTAAGGAACACAGGAGTAGGCCACTCAGCCCCTCAAAATTGCTTGTTCATTCTAGATCATAGCTGTTAATCTACCTCAAAGCTTTTTTCCTGCACATCCCCATATTCCTCAATGCGTCTAAAAATCTATCAATCTCTATCTTGAACTTTTTCAATGACTGAGATTCCACAGCCTCTTGGGTACAGAATTCCAAAGATTCAGCACCCTCTGAATGAAGAAATTCCACCTCATCTCAGTCCTCAATGCTTTGACCCTTATTTTGAGACTGTATTCCCTGGTTTGACAGCCCCTCTCCCAATCTAGCCAGGGAAAACACCCTTTCAGCATCTATCCCATTCTTGTTCCATAAAACACCTAATTCAGTCAACTCAGACACACAAAAAAGTACAAATGAAATGAAGCGCGTCTACGATTTCAAGGCTGGCTACCATAACAAATCTCTTCCACATTGACCAATTTCATCCAGATTCTAAGACCTTTACCAGGAAATGTGGGCAGAGTGTGGTTCTTATTTAAATGCAGGGTTGAGATTAACCAAGTTTTCAAGATATTAAGTTAAACACAATGAGAGAAATTACTTCTGCGAGTTCGGGAGGGTTGGGAGGGACAGTCAAGAATGAAAGCCAGATCTTTCAGGAGGAAAATTGATCATACTTCGTCACACAAAAGTTGGTAGAAGATTTGGACTCTTGCTTTCACAAATAGCAATTGATACCACATTAGTTGTTAACTTTAAAACAGAGATGGATGGATTTTTATTAGCCAAATTATTAAATAATCTGGGCAGAGGCAGGTATGTAGAGTTAATCTGAGGCCAAGACATTATGTGTTTTCAAGATGGCTAAAGGCTTGTGTCTAATGGGTTCAAGGGATTATGGGGAGGAGGGTGGGGCTAATGTATTGAACTCAATGACCAGCCATGATCATATTGAATGGTGGATCAGGCTCAAGGAGTCAAGTGGCCTACTCCTGTGCCTATCGTTGATGTTTCTATTTTGCATATCAGACATGACCTCACCAAATAGTGCAACACGTTCAAGGGGTACATGACCTCCTCCTTTTCCTGTGTTCTCAAGTATATTGCTATATTTGGTCAATAATATATATTGATGTCAGCTTCTGAATCCCCAAAACCACAAGAAATAGCAACAGGTGTAGACCATTTAGACCTTCAAGCCTACCACCATCACCATCCCTGGATATGTCCTGTCCAGCCGGCAGGACAGACCCAGCAGAGATGGTGGCACAGTGGTGTACAGTCAGGAGGGTGTTGCTTGGGAGTCCTCAACATTGACTCTGGACCCCATGAAGTCTCATGGCTTCAGGTTAAACAAAGGCAAGGAAACCTCCTGCTAATTACCATTTACCATTCTCCCTCCACTCCACGTACCTTCGCTCAATGTGATATCAAGAAAAGATTGGAGGCACTGAATAATGCAAAGACTATGGGCCCTGACAACATTCTGGCAATAGTACTAAAGACATGTGCTCCAGAACTCGCTGCACCCCTAGCCAAGCTGTTCCAATACAGTTACAACACTGGCATCTACCTGACAATATGGAGCATTGCCCAAATGTATCCTGTACATGAAAAGCAGGACAAATCCAACCTGGTCAATTACTGCCCAATCAGTCCACTGTTGATCATCAGTAAAGTGATGGAAGGTGTCATCAACAGTGCTATCAAGCTACACCTGCTCAGCAATAACCTGCTCAGTGACACCCAGCTTGGGTTCTGCCAGGGCCACTCAGCTCCTGATCTCATTACAGCCTTGGTTCAAACATGGACAAAAGAGCTGAATTCCAGAGGTGAGGTGAGAGTGACAGCCCTTGACATCAAGGCCAAGTGTGGAATCAAGGAGCCCTAGCAAAACTGCAATCGATGGGTATCGGGGGCAAACTGCCAGTGGTTAGAGTCATACTTGACACAAAGGAAGATGGTGTCAATAAATGTGGAACTGGAAAAGCACAGCAGGTCAGACAGCATCCGAGAAGCAGGAAAATCAACGTTTTGGGCTGAAACCCTGTCAGAGGACTCTGCCAGCATCAGTGGTCCTTACTGTATCCACGTAGAAAGATGGTCGTGGTTGTTGGAGGTCAGTGATCTCAGCTCCAGGATATCTCTGCAGGAGTTCCTCAGGTTAGTGTCCGAGGCCCAACCATTTTCAGCTGCTTCATCAATGACCTTCCCTCTATCATAAAGAACGGAATTGGGGATGTTTGCCAATTATTGCACAATGTTCATTTGTGACACTGAAACAGTCCATGTCCAAATGCAGCAAGATGTGGACAATATCCAGGCTTGGTCTGATGAGTGGCAACTAACATTCATGCCACACAAATCAGGCTATGACCATCACCAATAAGTGACAATCTAACCACCGTTCCTTGACAGTCAATGGTGTTACCATCACTGAATCCACCACTATCAACATCCTGGGGGTTGATAGATCAGAAACTCAACTGGACTCACCATGTAAGCACAGTGGCTACAAGACCAGGTCAGAGACTAGGAATACTGCAGTGAGTAACTCACCTCCTGACCCATGAAAGCCTGTCCACCTTCTACAAGGCACAAGTCAGGAGTGTGATGGAATACTCCCCATTTGCCTGGATGAGTGCAACCCCAACAACACTCAAGAAGCTTGACTCCATCCAGGAAAAAGCAGCCTGCTTCATTGGCGTTACATACACAAGTATCCATTCCCTCCACCACCGACACTCAGCAGCAACAGTGTGTATTATCTACAAGATGCACGGCAGAAATTCACCAAAGATCCTCAGACAGCACCTTCCAAACCCATGACCACTTCCATCTAGAAGGACAAGGGCAGCAGATACATGGGAACACCACCACCTTCAAGTTCCCCTCCAAGCCACTCACCATGCTGACTTGGAAATATATTGCCATTCCTTCACTGTCACTGGGTCTAAATCCTGGAATTCCCTCCCTAATGGCATTGTGGGTTAACCCACAGCAGGTGGACTGCAGTGGTTCAAGAAGAACGCTCACCACCATCTTCTCTAGGGCAACTCAGAACAGGCAATAAATGCTGGCCAGCCAGTGACACCCACATCCCATAGAAATAAATTAAAAATTAAGACCTTCGAGCCTGCTCTGCTATTCAAAAGGATGATGACTGATCTGACATTCCTCATGTCCTCTTTTGTGCCCTTTTCCCATTTCATTCATGGATTTGGGCATTGCTAGTTTTACCCATCCCTAAATTCCCTGGAGAAGAGGCAGAATTGGTGAGCTGCTTTCTTGAATCACTGCATTCTTTGGGGTGTAGATACACCATGGGAGCAGTGATGAAGGGAGTTCCAGGATTTTGACTAAGTGATAGTGAAGGAATGGTGATATATTTCCAAATGAGGATGATGTGTGACTTGCAATATCTCCTGGGTTATGTTCCCGTGTATCTGTTGTTCTTGTCCTTCTAGGTAGTAGATGTTGTGTGTTGGTAAGTGCTGTTGTTATGGGTAAGACCAATAGAAAGTGCACGGATTTTATAAACAGAAAACACTTCATAGCTTCAAACTGCAACATGCAGGCTGCCATAGCAATCTACTGATGGACGAGGGTGGGTTGGGGGTTGGAGGTGAGGTTGGCTGGATGACCAGATAACAGCATGAGGCTGATCCCTGTTCTGGGTTGGGAGGATAAGGGCCTACCTTCAATAAAGAACTGAAGTAGATGTTAAAGTTCATTCTAGTCTTAGTAAGCCGTACACTTTTTAAGATGGTAGTGAATTGAATTTTTCAATATAGAAAAGAGAATTGATTTGCAGCATGTGTGTTGGCTGTCACACCTGTGGACTAATAAAACCCACTGCATGTTGGTATGAAATTTGCCAATTTAGGAATTGACTTATTTTAAACATTTTATTTTTTTTTGTTTTCAATAAGCTACTATTTAAATATGGATGTAGTCATGTCCTAAAGATATGCTGATGTTTGTCTGTCAATACTGATTTGTATTTATTTATTTGTGAATACTGATTGTGAAGAGGAAAACCTTGAATGGGAGATTTACAGGGTGGTGGTGGAGTGGGACAAATTGGAAAGGACTATCAAAGAGCTGGTATGTGCACAATGGGCCAGATGGCATCCTTTTGTCCTATACGAGTTTATGAACTAGATCTATAAATGTGAATACTCATACATACGCATAAACGGGACCATTGTTGCATATCAGCTATTGGACAACGTACAAGAGTTTGAGACCTAACAAAATGGGATCTGTAACCTGAAATGGGACCGGCAATATTTATTAACTCAGAAGCAGAACTGGCATTGAGCTCCTTGATCACCCGGCGGTCCGTATCCTGCCTGGCTGTGATGCTATGAACATAATACTGCAGCCTGCGGTTGAGTGACGCCTTTTCTTCTTCACCTTCCAGCCTGTCCTTTATTCGACCAGAAATCTTATTCAGCACCACGGAGAGCTCCCAACGATTGGACAGATCAAACGCCCTGCTGCTCTTTCTTTCCTAGAATTTCACCTTCTCCAAATCCTTTTCTACTGGCTCCTTTGATCATCTCCAATGGTTCTGACCAGAGGTTATTAACTATTTAAACACCTCTCCCGCAAAAAAAAATTGATGATCGGAAGTCCCGTCCGGAGCAGTCTGCAGCGGAGATGGGTTCAATGCTGTATCTGTGCCTACTAACTATCGCAACAAGTAAGTGCTCGATTTATCCCTCCTTTCTAACAGAAGTTAGACTGAGGCGGTGCAAAATGTGTAACTGGGTAGGCTTACATTAATGAGCCTACAAGACTGCATCGAATGTGTACTATTAGTCCCACAGATATTGCATGTTGACATGTTGTTGTAATCCGAGTGTGCGTATGTTTGTGACTACAGCCCAGCCGTTTAGGTTTGACTATGAAGGATCAGTTTTGTTTTCATATGAGTTAACTTGTGAAGTTGATGTTGGACGTTCGGAAGTGTGCAGCTATAGAATTAGTGGGAGAATACAATGCAGGGGAAGAGAAAAAAAATGTTTGCCAGGACATCTACAGGCCCAAAATGTCGACCCCTGCCCCCATAAACTGGAAAGGAGAGATGCTATACTATGCATTATCTTGAAGGGTTTTGGTAATGAAATGCCATTAGATTAGTTTCTGTCCGTTTCTGCGATATAGTGTGGGGAGGAGCATCGTTGCAAATAACACAGTCTACACTGAATCTTGAGGCAAATTATGTCAGGTCAATGAACTGACGTTGCTTGTGTTGCATTAAACATAAGTTCAAGTCTCTGGAAACCTCAATACTTCCTAACCCCCATACACACACAATCAGGAGACTGCAATTACAATTACCTCTCTAATATGTCTTAATGCAAGTACATTACCTTGAGTGGAAGTGAATGCTTGGTTTGGACTTTGATTGATTAAATGTTGACCTTAATTAGAGATTATTAAAACCAAGAAAACAGGATTGTATTGAGCAAAAGGATGTTTGTATGCGTGTTTGTATGTGTCTGGGTGTGAGGGAGGATTCAGAAATATAGAATTCTACATTTCCTTATCTGGGAACCAAGTCAATTTAATATTACAAACCCCATTCCCATTTAACTCAACTCTCCTTTGGAAATGACATTTACAGTCAACAGGATGAAGAAATCTTTAGAATACTGGGACGGCATGGTGGCTCAGTGGTTAGCACTGCTGCCTCACAGCGCCAGGACCTGGGTTTGATTCCAGCCTCGGGCGACTGTGTGGAGTTTGCACATTCTCCCTGTGTCTGTGTGGGTTTCCTCCAGGTGCTTGTGTTTCCTCCCAAAGTCCAAAGATGTGCAGGTTTGGTGGATTGACCATGCTGAATTGCCAGTGGTGTCAGGGATAGGTGGGTTAGGTGGACTGGCCATAGAAAAGGCAGAGTTACAGAGATGTGATAAGGAGGTGGGTCTTGGTGAGATGCTCTTCAGAGGGTTGGTGTGGACTTGATGGGCTGAATGGCTGGCTTCCACACTATAGGGATTCTATGATTCGATCTTTAAGTGCTAATGATAGGCCTGTTACAAGTAGCTTGAAGATGTTGACAGAATGGTGCACAACACTGAAATCAAATCAAACAGATGAAAATGTCTGACATTTTAGTTTTCAATGGCATTTTAAAATAAATATTCTTAACTAGTTTTTAGTTTATTTTTTCAAACCCAGCTCTACAGTCTCAGAGGTATTGATTCTGTTGTCTATCTAAACTTCATACACAGTCTACATCTGGTGTTGTACACTGAATGCTTTATGTTCTAAAGATAATATCTGAAAAATAATTCTTCCCACATCTTCTCCCTGAAGTTGCAAAATGCTGTAGGGCATGGTTCTATGGCAGCTCACTCGAATTTCACTTATCGTTTGACAGGGTGCATTGACGACAATTACAAAGCCTTGCATTTATATAGCATAGTGGTAGCAGCTTTTCATCTTATAAGATGATGGTTTACACAGTCAACCGTATATCCATCATCTGCTGTGGCTCAGGAGCAATCTCTGCAGAGACTGTAGGCTTAGAAAGTGCATGATTCACTGACCGCTTATTACTCTGGGCCAGCTGAGCTTTTCGTTTCTGCTCATCTCTCCCAGTGTCCTTCCAAACACATGTCATGGCCATCAACTAATGTTTCCCAGTTGTCAGTGTCATTATCTGCTATCTTCATATCTGACTGAAAAGGTACCCTTGAAGCAGAGATATAGACCACCAGGAAGTCATTGAAGCTCAGAAAACAGGAGCAAGAGCAGCACATTTAGCCCTTTAAACCTCCCCCACCAATAAAATCATGGGTGATCATAAACCTAGTTTCCTGTTCCCAATTTCTCCCCTTTAACTCATGTAGCCCTAAGAACAATATCTAACTAGTCTTTAACTAGTCATAATCCAGTGGCCAATCACTGTCCAGAAGATAAAGCAAAGAACTACAGATGCAGAAGGTCTGAAACAAAAAGCAGAAAGTACTGGAGAAACTCAGCAGGTCTGACAGCATTTGTGGAGACAGAATCAGTGCTAATGTTTTTTCTGAAAGAAACGTTAACTCTGCTTTCTCTCCACAAATGGTGCCAGACCTGCTGAGTCTCTCCAGCAATTTCTGTTTCTGTTCACTGTCCAAAACAAAGGCTGTCATCCATTTGATGAATGTGGTTGAGCCATTGCAGATGTCATTGGCTTAGTGATGAGTGTGTGCTGATTGAATGAGTATCCCCCAGATCCTCTGAATGGGTGACTTTATCCTGCCAAGAGATGCAAGGACCTGTCTGAGATAGTGAAGATTAAAATGGTTGAGACATTTCTCCTGCTACGCATTTACTGTCCAGGACTCATACTGTACAGGAGTGCACTGAGGATGCAGGCTTGGTCAATGCACAGTTTGATGTTCTATAGGGTTTTTGTTGCCTACAGATTGATGTACCAGCTGTAGCTTTGGTAATGATATCAGCATCAAATCACAGAATACTGGTGATTGTGAAGCCTACATATGTGAAACTACAAACAGCCCCCAGTGGCATTTTGTCACTGCTGATATACAGCAGTATAGCAATAGCCTACACCATGACATTTTCTTCCTGACGCTGACAGGCAAACCAAACTCATTACTGGTGAAAGAATTGGTTGATTGCTGATGTAGGTATTCCTCACTGTGAAATGTCAATGCAGCATCATCAGAATAGAGCAAGTACCTGAAGGGGTCTTGGTGTAACTTTGACATTGGATCTCAGGTGAGCAAGAACAATTAGCATTTTGCACTGGACGGTAAGTATATACCCTCTGCCAATGACACGAGGGCACATGACAGCAGCAAAAAGAAGAATGTGCCAAAGTGTGTCAATGCCAAAACTGTTTAACCCCACTGGAAATCTCAAAGAGTTCCAATGTTGCCCAGTCATGGTTAACCTTACTTATCATATTGTCACAGAAAGAGGAGATCACATTCGGCAGCTACAACTGGTGGCCGATTTTCTCCATCAGCTTAAATAGACCATCTCTGCTCACATCGTCAAGTGCCTTGGTGAGATCGATGAAGTCTGTATGTATATATAGATATCATGGCAATTCTCTTACAGCTAATCAGGCTGAGACAATCATGTGAATTGTAGATGCGTTCGGGTTCTGGAACCAGATTGAGATTTGGGTTTTGAAAAAGCCCAAAGAACTGCAGATGCTGGAAGTCAGAAACAAAAACAAATTACTGGAGGAATTCAGCAGGTCTGGCAGCATCTGTGGAATGAAAGCAAATTTAAAGTTTCGGGTCCAGGGACCCTTCTTCAGAACTGATTGTAGCTAGGAATGGAAATGGCGGTTAATGATCTTTTGGATGTGAGATGGTAGGTGGGGATGAGGGGGATCCATGTGGGAGGGAAGAAAGGGGTAAGGGCCAAAGTGTAGGAGATAGGTCAAGCATGACTCGGGCCTTGTTAACCACAGCAGTGGGCACCTTCATTTGCAATCTACCTGTCGTTTACTCTTCCCCCTTCCACCCACCCCATCTTTAGCATATATACCAACCTTTTCCTAGCTACAGTCAGAATGAGAAAATGTCATGTTGCAGGATATTGCCATACTGCTGTATATCAGCATTGACAAAGTGACATTGGAGGCTGTTGATATTTTCACATATCCAGGCTCCACGATCACCATCAATCTGTCTTTGATGCTGATACCATTGCAGAAGCTGCAGCTGATACATTCAATCTGTAAAATACAAAAGTCTGGCAGAACATCCTGCTTTCTCTCCATAGAAGCTGCTGGACCTGCTGAGTCTTTTGTTTGGGATTTGGGGCAAACGTGTTCAGCCAGGATCTGCAGTCTAACAAGCGCAACACAAACAAATACTTTAGCCACAATGCTCAGCAAGGAGGGGCCTCGATTGTTGTTACCATTGTTGTGTTTGCCCTTCCTGCACAGAGTCACAATCTTTGTCCCACCTTTATCCTGCGGCATTGTCCCCTCACCCTAGAGTTTATGCAGATGCTGCAGGGAGCACCAGTTTGCCATGCTTAATGCATATGGCATCACACGCAGACCTTTGTTCATAGCAAGCAAGAAAAACGACTTTGCTATAAACCTCCACTGCGGATTCAATATCCAGCCCAGCATGATGGGCAGACCTTCTATTGTGTTTTAGAGCTTTCTTATTGACAGTGTTTTTCTCAGAGTACAACTCAAAGTAGGGCTTCACTCACCTGCTCAACAACAACAGGTCCCTCAGCTCGGTTGGCTGGACAGCTGGCTTATGATCCAGCATGGGTTCAATTCCAGCACCAGCTGAGTAAAACATGTAGTTTCCACCTTCTCAACCTCCTCTCTCTCTCATCTGAGGCATGGTGACTGTCAGGTTAAACCACCACCAGTCATCTCCCTCTCTCTAATGAGAAAGCAATCATAGAGATGTACAGAATGGAAACAGACCCTTCAGTCCAACTCATCCATGCCAATCAGGTAAATTAATCTAGCTCCATTTGGCCCATATCCCTCTAAACCTTCCTATTCATGTACACATCCAGATGTCTTTTAAATGCTGTAATTGTACCAGCCTCCACTACCTTCTCTGGCAGCTCATTCCACACACACACACCACCCTCTGTGTGCCCCTTAGGTCCCTTTAAAATCTTTCCCCTCTTATCTTAAATCTATGCCCTCTAGTTTTGGGCTCCCCTATCCTGGGAAAAAGACTTTGGCTATTCGCCTTATCCATGCTGCTCATAATTTTATAAAATTCTATAAGGTCATCCCTCAGCCTCTAACGCTCCAGGGAAAATAGCCTCAGCCTATTCAGCCTCTCCCTGTTGTTCAAACTCTCCAACCCCGGCAACATCCTTGTAAATTTTTTCTAAACCTTTTCAAGTTTCACAACAACTTTCCTTAGCAGAGAGACCAGAATTGCATGCAGTGTTCCAAAAGTGGCCTAACAAATGTCCTCTACAGCTGCAAGATGACATCCCAACTCCTAAACTTAATGCACTGACTAATTAAGACAAGTGTACCAAACGCCTTCTTCACTACTATGTGACTTTATAACTTTTTAGCAACACTTGCATTTTCATAGCACTTTTAACATAATGGCATAAGACACTGCAAAGAAGATGATGAGGTTATAATTGGCCCTGTGCCAAAGAAGGAGGCTTTAGGAGCGATGTTAAAAACTTGGTCATAAAGGTCATTTTTAAGTAGAAGATGTGGAGTCAGAAGTTTAGAGACGAGGTTCCAGAATCAGATGTTTGAAAGCACAGTTGCCAATGGGAGGTTAAAGAAGGCCAGTACTGGAGGAATACAGAGATTTTGAAGGGCTGGAGGAGATTCATACACAGGCATAATCAAACAATACACAACTGATGGAGCACATTCTTTCTGCTCCTCACACCTAGTACTGGATACTCAGAGGATTGCTCTGCCCTTGGTTGATATGGGGCAGATGCAGGGTCTAAAATTTAAAGGGCCATTTCACGTTTTCAATTGGGATAACAATTTGCATTATGAATGCGGATTTCTGAAAAAAAAAGCATAATTATTTTTGAGTAGCCCTAGAAGACACAGCTCGCACTGTCTAAAGAGTGCATACTCACTTTCCCTTCTCACTGTCTCTTTGATGAGATTCATTCTCAACGGAGACAGGAATTCCACCAGCTACTGATCAAAACTAAGTGAACCTGATTCCCTGTTATCAGCTGGGTTAAGCCGTGCTCTGAATCTTATCTGTGCCATGGTTAAGACTGGGAAGTAGCTATGTAATGTTCCAGAACTACCCCGGAGCTATCAGCAATTAAAGATTAACTCCTGGAAGCTGATGCAAACAAACCCAAGGGAAAACTACTTGTGTCACAGACAAGACTGGAGAGCTGGGACTCTTCTCCATAAAGAAAGGAAAAAAAATCACAGAATGGCTACAGGACAGAAGGAGGCCATTCAGCCAGCCATGTTGGCATTGGCCCTCCAGACGATCAATTCACTTAATGTAGTTCTCCCCACCTTGTCCCTACAACCCTGCACATTCTTCTTTTTTCCAATAATAATCCTCTTGAAAGCCTCAATTGAACCCACCTCCTCTATAGACTCAGGCAGTATGTTCTTAACTTATTGAAAGGTTCCTCCTCATGTCGTCATTTCTTCTTTTGCTAATCACCTTAAATCTGTGCTCGCTCGTTCTCGATCCTTCCATGAATGTGAACAGCTTTGTTCGCCAATCTACTCTTCCCAGAACCCCTCGTGATTTTGAATACCTTTGGCAAATCAGAGGAATCCTGCAGCAAGGTATTAACTATCTGCTTCTCCAGTGTCTGCCAGCTATCTACATAGCATAAGCCATAAGTGTGAGGGAGAAGTCTCCACTTGTTTGGATGACTGAAGCTCCAACAGCACTCCTGCAGGTTCAATACCATTTCCAAGACAAATCGGCCCGCATCCCATCCACCACCTTCAACATTCACTCCCTCCACGTTTGAAGCTCAGTAGCAGCAGTGTGCACCATCTACAAGAAGCATTGGAGCAACTCACCCAGGCGGCTTAGATAGAATGTTCAAACTAGCAACCTCCCAAAGTCCAAAGATGTACAAGTTGGGTGGATTGGCCATGCTAATTTGCCCACGGTGTCCAGGGCTCTGCAGGTTAGGTGGGTTAGCCACGGGAAATGCAGCAGTATAGGGATAGGGTAAGGGGTTGGATCTGGGTGGGGTGCTCTTTGGAGGGTGGTGCAGACCCAATGGGCCAAATGGCCTGCTTCCACACTGTAGGGATTCTATGATTTCATGATTCTACATCTGGAAGGACAAGGACGGCAGATACACGGGAACACAATCACTTGAAAGTTCCTCTCCAAGCCACTCACCAGCCTGACTTGGAACATTGGGTGTCCCTACTCCCTAGGGACTGTAGCAGTCCAAGAAAGTAGATCACCATCATTTCAATTGGCAATTAGGGACGGGTAATAAATGCTCACTAAGCCAGAGGTGCCCATATACCTTGAATGAATAAAAAAATACAGAGAAGAGATTCTACAAAAAATTCAAACTCATGGGGATCCTGGATAGATAGATAAAGATTGACTTTGCCATTGGCAGCAGAATAAAGAATCCAAGTGATCAGCGAAAGAATCAAAGGCAAGACAAGATCATCGTTTTTACATAGTGAGTGGATGGATTTGGAATGAGAGTCTGGTGGAGGCAGATTCAATCATGTCTTTCAAGAAGAGACTGGATAAACGTAAATAATTGCCGAGCTATAGGGAAAGGTGGAGCTGGTGGGGCTGGTTAAACTCCTTACACAGAGCTAGCATAGCCATAATGGGCCAAATGGCCAGCCTCTGCACTGGTAACAATTCTTTGATTCCATGAAATCCAGAAGATATTATTTTTAAAATAATATTTACTTTAGTTACAAAAATATAGGAGGTGTGAGAAACAGGCTATTTGACTTGGTGGGGCGGTTAATTTAGATGGTCATGAAACCTCCAGAAATAGGTCCAATCAAAGTTGACAACCTAGATATGTCACAAAACTAACACCAAGCGCCTCAACGCCATTGAAATGATTTGTTCACCTCCCAGAGTCAAACCAACTCAGTTACCTTCTTGCCTTCTAACAGTCAGCTCAAAATCAGTAGTGACGGAGGACAGCAGCAAATTCTCTAGCTATCCTCACCAGAGAATAGCTTGTGCCTGGGAAAGACTTGAAGGAGGAGGGGGGAAATGAAGAGGTTTAGAAACCTGGAGCAGTGTTAGGCTGGATTTAATGTGCACTTTACTTTTCTGCAGGAAGCCACAGTGCAGAGGTTGAGGAGAGGCTAATGAATTACCTTCTGGATCCAGAAAGGTACAATAAACTGATCCGACCAGCTGTCAACAACTCTGAGCTGGTCTCTATTGTCTTTCAGGTCTCACTGGCACAGCTCATCAATGTGGTAAGTTAACAGGGGCTGAGGATGTACTGCCAACATTTAAAGCATCTGTTTTCGTACTATATGTCTCTATGAAATATTTGTATAGTGCCCTTGACAACAAAATATCCCACTGCCATTTAATAGGTATGACACTATATCTCATTAATTCTTTTAAGGAGAAACGGAGTGGAGAGATCCAGGGCTTAGCATCTAGAAAATTTCAGGCTTTGCTGCTGATGGTAGAATAAATAAAATTTTTAAAAATCAGAAGGTCTCAGACTTATGATGTATATTGATCACAATTTCCTTTTATGGAGTTGGGTGAGGGACATATGTTAGTAAGAACAGTATGGAAAATACCCCTGCCCTTCTGTATAAGTGCCCTGGGACCTGAAACTTTACCTCTTACAATGCAGTACCCCCTCAGTGTCAACCTAGATTTTGCAATCATGTATGTGGAGTTAAGCATGAATCCATAACCTCTGGTTCAGAGACAAAGGTTCTACCACTAAGCCACAACCGATATCTTCAGATTAAACGGTGGTTGAGGATATTTTATCATAGCATGATGTGTGTCAAGGGGTCAGCTTTGTTTCTTCCCCTACAAGTGAACTCCCTTCCTCTCCTAAAGTTTTGTTCCAAGCTGGCTTATATTCCCACAGGTAATTCTGTGATCCTTCACACAAGTGCTTCTCAGGTACAACCCCAGAGTGTGCATATCAGCTGACTATTTGATCAAAAGAGACGGAGCATCCAATAGATCACTCCTAGGTCGGTACATTCCTACCCTCGGTGACACCCACATTCTGTACAGAGGATATCTGTTCTGAGGTGACATGGCCTAATGCACAATTAGTGTTGTAAAAGCGTACAATCGTTGACATGGTAACAGTGCATGTTACAATATGCCAGCAGATACATGGGAACACCATTACTTGCAAGTTCCCCTCCAAGACACACACCATCCTGATTTGGAAATGTATCAGTGTTCCTTCACTATCACTAGGTTAAATCCTGCAACTCCTCCCTAACAGCATTCTGGGTCTACCTACACCAAATGGACTGCAGTGGTTCAAGGGGTTGCACAGTGGCTCAGTGGTTAGCACCGCTGCCTCTCAGCACCAGGGACCCGTGTCTGATTCCACCCTCAGGTGACTGTCTGTGTGGAGTTTGCACATTCTCCCGGTGTCTGTTTGGGTTCCCTCCAGGTGCTCCAGTTTCCTCCCACAGTCCAAAGATGTGCAGGTTAGGTGGATTGGCCATAAATTGCCCACAGTGTTCAGGGATGTGTAGATTAGGTGAGGTATAGGGGGAATGGGTCTGGGTGGGATGCTCTGAGGGTTGGTGTGAACTGTTGGGCTGAATGGCCTGTTTCCACACATTAGGGATTCTATGGATACCACCACCTTCTTAAGAGTATCCAGGGATGGGCAAAAAGTGCTGGCCCATCCAGCAACACCCAATCCCTTGAACAAATTTTAAAAGGTAAAAATAAAAAATCTGGGATAATACAGAAATGTATTTACAGACTTTAGAGAGGTACAGGCATGTGTAAAACCAATCAATGACACTTACAAATATCATTCATGTCGACTCTCTGTGTCCCCAAACTCCCCACCCTCAACCTTCTTTACGTTTAGAATGAACGTGAACAGATCATGACAACAAACGTCTGGTTAAAACAGGTCAGTACCTCTGCATGTTTATCTTTAAAATGTGGGAATGACCACACTGAGCATGGAGACAGGGTCACTTCCTCTTGTGTGCTCCACTACAGGAGTGGAATGACTACCGGCTATGCTGGGACCCGGAGCAGTTTGAAGGTATTCGCAAGCTACGGATTAACGCCAAGCAGCTTTGGCTCCCAGACATCGTATTATACAACAAGTAAGATCAAATTGCAAACGCGGAAAAATAAAAGCATTTCTTGAGCTCCTTTGATGAAATCAGAATGTCCCGTAGCTCTTTACGGTCAATGACATGTTTTTGAAGTGTAGTCACTGTCGTAGAAAATGCCAAAATATGAGACGCAAGCTCCCACAAACAACAATTTGACATTAAAAGTCTCAGGCTTATGATGTATATTGATCACAATTTCCTTTTATGGAGTTGGGTGAGGGGCATATGTTAGTAAGAACAGTATGGAAAATACCCCTGCCCTTCTGTATAAGTGCCCTGGGACTTGAAACTTTACCTCTGACAATTCAGTAGCCCCTCAGTATCAACTCAGCAGTACTCAGCAGTGAGAACCAATGTCACCCCTAAGCTGTATAGTGCAGCTGCTCAGAGGGTCTGTGCATGCCCATATTGAATTCCAGTTTCAGAAGCTATTGCCATGCATGAACCTCACGGGTCTGCGCAGAGGTGGGCAAAATCAGAGGGAACATAAGCAAGACCCCCTGTGATCTCACTGAAAGAGCACCATGTTATTGTTTACTTGAGAGGGTGGCACTGCTGCCTCACAGCGCCAGGGACCTGGGTTTGATCAGGATGGCATTGTAGCACTATTCAAGCCAGGCCAGAGAGTTCTCCTTTTGTCCTGGTCAGCTTTCCTTGCTCAACCAAAACCATCAAATGCCATAACTATTCAATATAGTAATGTGCCAAGGAAACAGGGAGCACAGTGGCTCATTGATTAGTGCTGCTGCCTCATAGCACCAGGAGCCTGGGTTCAATTCCTCCCTCGGGCGACTCTCTGTGTGGAGTTTGCACATTCTCCCATGTCAGTATGGCTTTCCTCCAGGTGCTCCAGTTTCCTACCAAAGTCCAAAGATGTGCAGGTTAGGTGGATTGGCCATGCTAAATTGCTCATAATGCCCAGGGATGTGCAGGCTAGGTGGGTTAGGTATGGGAAATGCAGTGTTACAAGGGTTGGGGTCAGTCTGGGTGGGATGCATCTTGGAGGGTTGTTATAGACTCAATGGGCCAAATGGCCTGTTTCCACACTGCAGTGATCCTATGATTCTAAGGTGGATTGGACCTCAGATCAATAGCTCATCCAAAAGGTGGGGACTCTACAGTGGAGCATTCCTTCACTTCAACACCATAAGGTGTCAGCCTGGATTTTTGTGCGCATTATATGTTTCCAAGCCCCCTGCTTACTTTAACATTAATTCATAAACACTTGAAGTGAACAGTGAATGCAGGTATTCTGCACAATGTGATTCAACTGTGCTCTGAAATACTAACAGCCAATGTGTTAATAGTTCATACAAAATCCTGAAATCGCCTGTTTTAAGAGTATTAAGTCACTAGAATATACTGAAGGTCTCTGTTGAAGAGCAAATAGAGGAATTTCATGTCAAGACATTCAATAGTGTGCAACTTCAATGTGTTTGCTCCACTCCACCAGCCTCATACTCTACATATACTTTATCACTTTAATTTTTTTTAAATTTCTGAAAACCTTTCTTTCTCATTGTAGTGCTGACGGAACCTATGAAGTCTCTGTGTACACTAACGCCATTATTTCCTATAATGGAAGTATCTACTGGCTACCACCTGCCATCTACAAGAGTGCCTGCAAAATCGAAGTGAAACATTTCCCCTTCGACCAGCAGAACTGCTCCATGAAGTTCAGGTCCTGGACCTATGACCACACTGAAATCGACCTGATCCCCAAAACCGATGGTGCAAGCATGGATGACTTCACTCCCAGCGGTGAGTGGGACATATTGACACTCCCAGGGAGGCGAAACACAAATCCACTGGACCCAACCTATGTTGATGTGACATATGACTTCATCATTAAAAGGAAGCCCCTCTTCTACACCATCAACCTCATCATCCCATGTATCCTCATAACCTCACTAGCCATTCTGGTGTTTTACCTTCCATCAGACTGTGGTGAGAAGATGACTCTATGTATCTCTGTTCTACTCGCATTGACTGTGTTCCTCCTGTTGATTTCCAAAATTGTTCCACCAACCTCCTTGGATGTTCCATTGATTGGGAAGTATCTGATGTTCACCATGGTGCTAGTGACATTTTCTATAGTGACCAGTGTTTGTGTGATCAACATTCACCATCGCTCTCCCAGCACGCACACCATGCCCCAATGGGTGAAGAACATTTTCCTGAATAGGTTGCCTTCTCTCCTGTTCATAAAGAGACCTCAAAACAATTGGACTAAGCAAAAATTATACCAACACAGGAAAAGCAATCTCTGCAATGCCCATGCAAGTCCAGAAGAGAGCAACAAGAACTTTGCTTTCTTTATAAATCCCACCTCCACCAAAGTTTATGACTCTAACTTTATGGAAGCAGCTGATGCCTGCCAACAAGACCTAAGGCTGAGAACATCCACAAAGCTCCCACCTGAATTGCAGGACGCTCTCGACGGGGTGAAATTCATTGCGGATCACTTGAAGAATGATGACGAAAATCAAAACGTAAGTCATTTTACGAGATCAAGTTGAGCTATCAATTGAGCCCAGACTTATGGTGGTGACAGCTATGGCTCTGTGTATGGAGTGGTTCCCCATCTGGTTTCCAGTCAGTCCATCCCCTCGTCCAGTACTGGACACCTTTATGTCCACTATTTTTAATTTGGAGTCACTACAAATACCCAACTCTGTGGATACCTGGACTGGGTTAATGGACCTATGAATGATCATATCGCCCACAGCCACCCCAGTCCTGTGCCCAATCTGTATAATAATGGGCTCCTGAGTAGCAGCACTCTCTCTGGTTTTTCAAGCAAAGGTCCTTGAGCTGTTGTTGTTGATGTAGTTGTTCCTCTGTCCTTGCAAAAGATTTGGTCCATAATCTTCTCCTGTAGCAAAATGGCTCTCCATCTCACAATCTCCCTTCACCAGGCAGGCAGTTTTAGTCATTAGACACAAAAATAGAGATTGCTAGAAAAACTCAACAGGTCTGGCAGTATCTGTAGAGAGAAATCAAAGTTAACGTTTTGGATCGAGTGACCCTTCCTCAGAATGGTTCTGGGGAAGGGTCACTTGACCCAAAACATTAACTCTGATTTCTCCCCACAGATGCTGCCAGACCTGTTGATCTTTTCCAGCAATCTCTACTGTTGTCTCTGATTTACAGCATCTGCAGTTCTTTCAGTTTTAGTCATTAGACTGGGCCAAGCCAGACTGAAAGGACCGCTGGTGCTCCCAGCAAACTGAACCAACAAAGATGTTGCAATCCGGGTGCTGTTTCCAACACTCTTGACGTTATCGAGTTGCTTGCTTGTTCAGCACTGACAATGAGGCAGCAGCTCAGAATGACAAGAAGGGTCAGCATGGAAGGGTAACCCAAGACAAGCAGACTTATTTCAAAGGCTGGCACCTAAGGGAATGACAGAATTCAATCCCTGACAGAAACCAGCTTCAATGTGCTATCTCCATAGATAAACTGGTCTGGGATATCCAGTTCCCTTCAGCCCTCAAACAAGTCCAAACATAGAAAATCAAAATAATTCCCCTCACATTGGTATTCTTGTGAACATCCTGATGAGTGCAAGAACAAAATGTGCAATTATTTTCAGCAGAATTGGGATTGTGTCACTGTACTCTTACCAGACCATTGGGCTGCTCTTGCATTAGAGAGAACAACAGGTGGTGATTTAACCTGAGGGCAACCATACCTCAGGTGAGGGGAGAGAGGTTGAGAAGGAGAGCCTTTCATGGTAACCTCAGCTGGTGTGGGGAATTGAACCCACACTGTTGACATTGCACTGCTTTGCAAGCCCACTGAGCTAAACTGAACCCCCTGTTTTCAGCAGTAATCATAGTGTGTACTATCAGTTGACTATTCCTCATTCTGTAAACAACAGTTTTCAAATTTGTATCTATATATGATGATTCCAAAACTACAAGTAAGTAAGGAATAACAAAGAATGTAATTTCATCCAAACTACTGTACCATCATGATTGTGTAAATTGCATTTAAAATGTTATTTTGTTTCAGCAGGAACACATAGGATTATACCACGTTATAACATACATTTCTTCCAGTACATGTCCTTGGAAAAGTGTTGAACAATGAGAATGCACAATCAATATTATCATATTCTTCTTTTCATGTAAAATAAATCCATAATTATAAATGCAGAATTTTTACTCACACAAAAGCACAACATTCACTTTGGATGCTAATTGTGGGGAGGGGTGACACAGCTTAAAGTTCACATAGGGCTGCCAGTGGCTATCCTTCACAGTACACAGTGTTCTCACTCTTGTGTGAAAGGGTTGTGAGTTCAAGTCCCACATCAGACTCAAAGCATGAAATTGGGCCTCTCAATGCTGCCCTGTTGGAGGTGCTGTCTTTTGATGAGACACTAATCCACCTCATCTACTCATGAAAAGAAGATCCTATGATGCTGTTTGAAGAGGAGCAGAAATGTTCACCCCCCGCTTAACCAACATTCCTAAAGCAGATTATCTGATCATGTTTGTTGCAGCTTGCTGGGTACGTATTCTCACGGTCATAGAGTTTTACAGCATGGAAAGATTGTAACAATTAAGTTACATTTTGCTTGGGTTAGTAAAATCTGTAGCAGGAAGACTGAAGGGAGCCAGGACATGAGGCAAATACAGAGTCCTGGAGAAACTCAGCAGGTCTGGCAGCACATGTGGAGAGAGAAACAGGGTTAACTTTTCGAGTGTGGTATGATTGTTCTTCAGAACTGCTGGGAAAGATGAAGTAGGAAACAGAGCAATGATTTCAATGCAGGAAGGATGCGGGAATGAGAATGAGCACAAAGGACACATTATTTGGAGAAGAGAGTACGTTGTTTGCAGAATTATCAATAGAATAACTTTGAATCATGACAGCACAAAAGAATTACATTTAACTCATTTTGTCTGTGCTGACTCTCCCACGGAGCTATTCCCCCACCTTTGCCCCACGTCCCGACATATTCCCCTCTGACTCATATTTAGAAAAAGTGGCAAGATTTAGGGCATAGAAGGATCCCACTCTCCCCATCACATCTGCACCAGCTAGAAAACAAGCCACCTGGCCTAATACCATTTTCCAGCACTTGATCCATACCCCTGGAGGTTATGGGACTTTGGGGTATATATCTAGACACTTTATCAATGAGCTGAGGATTCCTGCCTCTACCACTCTTTCAGGCAGTGAGATCCAGCTCCTTCATAAAGGTGTGATGGAGAGAGGGAGAGAGAGAGAGAGAGAGAGATTGGAAACTAGGAGTGGGAGAGGAACCATCTTTCAGATAGTCCAAGTCTTCCTTGATTGTGTGCAACAGTGAAAGACATGAGATTATTCCCAAATATTTAATTAAAGGAATGTTGCATGTTTGGGTAGTTAATGAGCTCTCTTCTTCTCAAGAAGCACACCCCAGTATAGCAGGATTCATAGTTACTAAAGAACCAGTTTGATGCAAATTTTCATGCGGAGATGCCAAACAATAGTTGATAGCAGAAATGGGAGAATATGAACATGCTACTTTGGAAAGCCTGTCTGAAATTATGGCTGAATTGTCAGACAAAAGTAATGAGAACTTTAACTATGCCACAGTTAGCCTAGAAATGGCTGGGCCACTTTTGGAATACTGTTTTCAATTCCAGTCTCCCTGCTGTAGGAAAGGTGTTGTTAAACTTGAAAGGGTTCAGAAAAACTTTACAAGAATTCTGCCAGTGTTGGAGGGCGAGCTACAGGGAAAGGCTGAAAAGACTGGGGTTATTTTCTCTGGAGCATCAGAGACTGAGGGGTGACCTTATGGAGGTTTATAAAATCATGAAGGGCATGGATAGGGTGAATAGCCAAGGTCTTTTTCCCATAGTAGGGGAGTCCAAAATTAGAAGGCATAGGTTTAAGGTGAGAGGGGAAAGATATAAAAGGGATCTAGGGGGCAACTTTTTCACGCAGAGGGTGGTGCGTGTATGGAATGAGCTGCCAGAGGAGGTGGTGGACGTTGGTACAATTACAACATTTAAAAGGCATCTGAATGTGTACATGAATAGGAAGGGTTTAGAGGGATAGGGGCCTAATGCTGGCAAATGGAACAAGATTAATTTAGGGTATCTGTTTGGCATGGAGGAGTTGGACCAAAGGGTCTGATTCCATGCTGTACAGCTCTATGACTCTATAAATGCTTGATGCAGAGTGAGAAAAGTGATCGAGGAATGTTGCTTATCCTTCTGAGCACAAATTTCACCAAAAATAAACAAGTATATTTTTAAAGATGACTTAAACAGAGTACAAACCTAATTCTTGCCCTGCAGACATGAAATGAGCTACATAATGCAAATCCATTTGTTTTCATAGATGGGATTGGGTGGACTAATGGCTGGGTCTGATGAATGGTGCTTCTGCCTCTAATTCTGTTGGGAGTCTTTGCCAGAGGCTCAGCTCACAGATTCAAATTGAAAACCAGCAGAGAGTCTGAAGATTACAGGAGTCAGTGAGTTGAGATTTCCCAGAAGGATTTTCAGGCTGCATTAAACAAATATTAAACTCTGTATAAATAGGCCAGAAAAACCATCAAAGAGGGAAATCAAAAAATATACTTTGAAGTCAAAATCTCAAGGAACAGGATTTTTATTACACACAGAGGTGGGGTCTGGCAATAACTTAGTTTGGAAATGATGGTGCTAAGCCTTATATTCCAGAAGATCCAAGGTTCAATTTCTGCTCTGTTTGAGACTGTCAGAATGCTATAACTAGCTTTGTACTGACTCCATATGCAGCAAGGTTAGTAACAAGAGGACACAGATTAAAGGTAACTAAGAATCAGATGGAGAGAGCATGAGGTTTTTTTACTGCAGTGAGTTGTGGTAATGAGAATACCATATGTATAAGATGCAATGTATTATTCTCAGGGAATCTGCTGCCTTGAGAGCAGATTAGAAGCGATAAAAATTTGCAGAAATACTTAATACATACTTGAAAAGGAAAAATGCAGTGCATTGACTAAAAGCAAGACATTGGGACGAATTGGCTAGCCTTTTCTAAGAGCCAGCACAATACACAATGGGTTGGAATGGCTGCCTTCCGTACTGTGAAATTCTATGGATTGTTAAAGAAAAGAAAATCAGCCACTGTTCCCATCCCTGATCTCTGTTCATTTGCCCTGTGGTGCAATGCACAGATAGGGGTTTGCCAGGGTTATTGGTCAGTTATATCAATGAGTAATGCCTGGCCAGAACTGCACAATGACATTTGGCTTCTGAGGTGAGTGACCTGAGATTTCAGCTCCCATTGGGACTGCACACTAACCATTCAGGAGAGGAGGGGAAGAGAGTTAGACAATGACAGGGTAATTGAGGGCTGGTACGTCGCCAATGAGCCGACCCCCCCCAAGTACGGATATGACTCTTTAAGAGGCCTCTCCTTTAAAAAGTAATTACAACTGCTGAAGAGCCAGCTGAACATAGAAGAGTGAGATTGGAGAGAAGCATACAAAAACTGAATAACATGAGATGCAGTCTTGTTTGATGCAGCATGAAATTTCAGAATGTTTATGAAGCTTGTATTGTTTGAGGAGAAATGAGTCTTGTGTAACCCCCTTCTGCATAAATAAAAATGCATTGAACGTTTTGACTTCCAGGTGACTGAAGATTGGAAATATGTCGCCATGGTGGTGGATCGCTTGTTCCTCTGGATTTTTATTGTGCTTTGTGTTATGGGAACAGTCGGATTGTTTCTCCAGCCATTTTGTCAGTCGCAGAAACATTGAGCTTTGTTGGATCTCTGCTGTGTACATAAACATGTATTGTGCACAGAACTTTTTAAACAATGACTGTTTGCACAAGGAAGGTGAACCATCCCAAAGTGATGTACGTGCTTCAAACACTCTCCCTTTACCTGCAAAGTGTCTGTACTATATTAAGAGGCATTATTATATCAATTGTAGCATAACTTTTCCTCAGTATCAACTTTTAATAACCATGCAAAGCTTTGGTTTAATATAAAATACTTTTAAATGTAACTTTGTAAATTTTTAAAAAAATTTTGACAGCTACACTGTTCTAAATAAACGGAAGCACTGCAAGACTGGTTTTTCAGTCTGATGTCTCAATCTACCCCTGTTAGATATTAATAAGGTCCTGGACCTTCCACATAATGCGACGGTCAAGAAGGGTCAAGAAGGACCCTCACCAACCTTTACAGATGCACCACAGAAAGCATTCTTTCTGGGTGCATAACGGCAACTGCTGTGCCCAAGACCATAGAAAACTGTAGAAAATTGTGTGCACAGCCCAGACCATCAAAGAAGCCAAACTCCCATCCAAGGATTCCATTTACATGTCTTGTTGCTGCAGAAAGGCTGCCAGCATCATCAAAGACCCCTTCCAACCCAGTAATACTCCCTTCCAACCTCTTTCGTCAGACAGAAGATACAGAAGCTTGGACGCACATATCAACAGATTCAAGAACAGCTTCTTCCCTGCTGTTGTTAGACTGCTGAATGGACTATCTTCAAATAATGTTGATCTTGCTTTGCGCACCTCCTGTGCAGTTGTAACCTGTATGCCTCGCTCTGTCTAAGCACCCTATGATCTGTATGTCCTTGTTTGCTGTGATTTGCCTGTACTGCTTGCAAACAAAGCTTTTCACTGTACTGAGGTACATGTGAATAAATCAAATCAAATCGAAATAGGAGCAGGACTATGACATTCAAGGCTGCCCATCATTCAATAAGACCATGGCTGATCTACTCAAGGCCTGAGTTCCTCTTTCATGCCAGCTCTTCATTGCCTACAACTCCCTGATAGTTCAAAAGTCTATCTAGCACCTCTTTAAATACTTTCAGTGATCTAACCTCCACAACCCCCTGAGGTACACATTCACTACCTTCTGAGAGAACTCCATTTTAAATACAAGTCTCCTTATTCTGTGTCCTTGAGTTTGAGATTTCCACACTAGTGGAAACATCTTCTCCACATTCACCCTGTAAAGCCCCCTCAGAATCTTGCATGCTTCAATAAGATCAACAAAATCACCATTAATTCTGGAGCTAAGGGGGTTGATCTATGAGGAGAGATTGAGAAGACTGGGACTATACTCATTGGAATTTAGAAGAATGAGGGGGGAATCTTATAGAAACATATAAAATTATGAAGGGAATAGACAAGATAGAAGCAGGGAGGTTGTTTCCACTGGTGGGTGAAATTAGAACTAGTGGGTATAGCCTTAAAATAAGGGGGAGAAGATTTAGGACTGAGTTGAGGAGGAACTTCTTCATCCAAAGGGTTGTGAATCTGCAAAATTCCCTGCCTAGTGAAGCAGCAGAGGCTACATCGTTAAATGTTTTTAAAGCAAAGATAGATAGATTTTTGAACAGTAAAGAAATTAAGGGTTATAGTGAGCAGGCAGATAAGTGGAGCTGAGTCCATGAAAAGATCAGCTATGATCTTATTGAATGGAGGAGCAGGTTCGAGGTTCTAATGGAAAGGAGCAACTAGCATCTGGTGGCACTAACTATCTCATGCATTGCCAGTAACTCAGCGTACTGGAAACAAGAATCAAGAAAACAAGGTTCAAGTAAATGAAGATCAATTCTATAATACAACCTGCTTATACATGTTTGAGTTTTGGGTATGTCATGGAAAGTCTTTTAGAATCGCACAGAGTTTAGAGGCATTGCCAATTTCAATGTTTTTTTAATTCCCAATTCCTCCTGTTGTAAATTCTAATGATTTAGGGTGACCTAAAGATAAATAAGAAAAAAAATTGTGTTAATATCAAAAGCGAAGTTGTTGGAAATCTGAAACAAAAACTGAAATTGCTGGAGAAACTCAGCAAGTCTGGCAGCATCTGTGACAGAAAACAGAGTCAACTTTTCAAGTCCTGAAGAAGAGTCATTGGAACATGAAATGTCGATTCTGCTTTCTCTCCACAGACGCTGCCAGACCTGCTGAGTTTCTCTGGCAACCTCTGTTTTCACTTGCATTCAAGTGTTATTGCTACTTGTAGCTATTCCTACCAGGAGTCCTACTATCATGTTATGTTACTCTCATCTGTTCCATGCTATCACACGCACACCCACTGCAGCTCGTCTGAAACCACTTTGTAACATCTGTCATCCCACAACACTTCCATTAACCTCTTTACCGCTGCCCTCCACTTTGCCCCCCAAAAAAGATTTCTATAGCTTTGCAGTTCTGAACAAAAGTTTGAAGAACTGACATTTTTTTTGCTAGATGTAAAAGTTCTTTTTGTTCTTTCAATTTCAAACATCTCTTCACTTACCTTACAGTCCATATTTGCAATTTCTAGCATCTGTCTTAGCAACTACCTTGTAAAGGCCTCTATATTCTTGTACAGTCTTTACTTATTTTCCAGTTTTCTGATGCAGACAGGAAGTGGATAGAATGTAACATCTTACGAGTCTTTTCCTCATTACCAGCTTCAGTTTTCTTGTTCACACATCCTTCATCTTCACAAAATTAATCCTGGCTATTACCTTCCTTCTTATGATTCCTGTATCACATTTGCTATCTTCAGCTATCATTTGTCTTAAAATGACAAACATATCCCAATGTGACACCATCCACTTCAACCTTCACTCTAGTTTCTTCTAGTGTATTTTTTCTGATTGCCATTGTTTGTGTCTGCCTGGTGTTCATTCTCAAATCATATGTTAAACTTCTAGAATTTATTTATACAATTAATGGTAGAGCCTTGGGTCGTGTTGCCGAACAGAGGGAACTGGGTTTCTTGTACATAATTCTTTGACGTTTGCATACATATAGATAGCATGGCTTGGAAGGCATTTAGCATGCTTGCCTTCATTGCTCAGTCCTTTGAGTACAAGAGTTGAGATGTCATGTTGAGGTTGTACAGGACATTGGTGAGGCCTCTTCCGGAATATTGTGTCCAGTTTTGGTCGCCCTGTTATAGGAAAGATATTATTAAACTGGAGAGGGTTCAGCAAAGATTTACCAGGATGTTGCTGGGAAAGGAAGGTTTGAGTTGTAAGGAAAGGCTGGATAGGCTGGGACATTTTTCCACTGGAGAGTAGGAGGTTGAGAGATGACCTGATAGAAGTTTATCAAATAATGACAGGTATAGATAAGAGTTGATGGTAGTTGTCTTTTCCCTAGAACGAAGAATTTCAAAACTAGGGAGCACATTTTTAAGGTGAGAGGAGAAAGATTTAAAGAAGAGTGCAAGGCATATTTTTTACTTTGAGGGTGGTTCGCTGTGGAATGAACTTGCAAAGGAAGTGGTGGATGCAGGTACACAATTGCAACATTTAAAAGACATTTGGATAAGTATATGAATAGGCAAGTTTTGAAGGGATATAGGCCTGGAGGAGGCAGGTGGGACTAGTTTAGTTTGGGATTATGTTTGGATTGGACCGGTTGGACTGAAGGGTCTGTTTCCATGTTGTATGACTCTATGACTCTACAATATTTTGTGGGACTCTTTCTGATTCTGCAATAAGTTTGTTATGGTCTTGCTTCCAATTTTGACTTCTGAAAGTATATCTAATTCTCTGCATTTATACGTTCCCTTCAAAATGCAAAGCACTTTGTATGTTGTATTCAGAAGGGAAGTATTCACATGCAGAAAAATAAAGCAGCAATTTATATAATGCAAATTTCCACAAGCAACAGTGTATTTTTGAAAAAAGGCTGCCTTTTATATACTGCCTTTCACGGCCTGAGAATACACTAAACGCTTTGCAGCCACTGCAATTCTTCGAAGTGTAGCTGCTGTTGTACTGTAGCAAACAATGTAGCCAATTTGGAAATTGCAAGATCCAATGAACAGCAACGAGATGAGGACCAAATAATCTGTCTTCTTTTAATTATATTGATCTGTACACCGCTGACAATTTCCTTGTTCTTGTTCCAAATGACATCATAGGGTCATATATATCCACCTGAGGGGGGCAGACGAGGCCTTGGTTTAGCAGCTTAATTGAAAGACAGCACCTTTGCCACTGCAACACTCCTTCAGCACTGCACCAGAAGTATCAGCCTGAGCTTTGTCCTTATGTCTGTGGAGTGAAGCTCGACCCCATGACCTGCTGCCATAGGGTGTTTCATAGAATCCTGACAGTACAGAAAGAGGCCCTTCAGCCCATTGAGTCTGCACCAGCCACCCCAAACAGCATCCCACCCTATCCCCAGAACTCCGCATTCACCATGGCTATTCCACCTAACCTACGCGTCCCTGAACGCTAAAGGGCAATTAGATGTGGCTAATCCACCCTAACCTGCACATCTTTGGCCTGTGGGAGGAAACCAGAGCACCCGGAAGAAACTCACACAGACTCAGGGAGAACATGCAAACTCCACACAGACAGGCACCCAGGGCTGGAATCGAACCCAGGTGAGGCAGCAATGTTAACGACTGAGCCACTGTTCCTCCTGTTTCTTTGGCACATTACTATACGTGAACAGTTATGGCATTTGATGGTTTTGGTTGAGCAAGAAAAGCTGACCAGGACAAGAGGAAAACTCTCTGTCCTGGCTTAAATAGTGCCACAATACCAGCCAGATTATCACAGCATCCATTCCCAGTTTGAGCATAGAGCACACACTCCACTGCCGTGGTGGTTAGCAACGTTTTAATGGATCCCTGTACTCTTGAACTGAGAAAATGATTCCTGGTCCCAATCTCCCTCCAGGAACAGCACAGTGGCTCAGTGGTTAGCACTGCTACCTCACAACGCCAGGGACTGGGTTTGATTCCACCCTCAGGCACATTCTCCCCATGTCTGCGTGGGTTTCCTCCCACAATCCAAAGAGGTGGATTGGCCATGCTAAATTGCCCATAGTGTTCAGGGATGTGTAGATTAGGGGGATGGGTCTGGGTGGGATGCTCTGTGTGTTGGTGCGGACTTGTTGGGCCGAAGGGCCTGTTTCCACACTGTAGGGATTCTATGAGAGTTGATGAAGTTGGAAAGTGCATGCGAGATGGCAGTGAAAACAAGTTCAGGTTTGTACATGAAGCATTCCATAACTTAATAGTCTCAATGTTCTGGATAGGTGGGAATAGGCAATTACTGTCTGTGTGTTTAGACCCCAGTGGGAAGCAGTGCCTTAGATAGAGAAATGGACAAAATGATTGGAAAATAGTTTGAAAAACCACCTATTCCAACAAATCATCATTAAATTCTCTTGGACATAGCCAAAATCTAAAACAATGTATAAAGCAGTTACATCATTCAATTCATCCAAATCTTGTTCTTATGGTTCTTGCTTCCCTTATTCTGAGCTGCCGGTGAATTTTGCAGGGTAACGTTCACTTATGAAGAGTTAAATTGAGCCAGCAGTGATTTGTATTTTGGGTACGTTGTTAGGCTTAATGAGTTTGAACTTTCCCCTGGTCAAATCATGTCATTAAGCATTAGGAAAAACATGATACAAAACATAACTATACTCAGTCTTTGTGGATTCGGGCCTCATATATATACCAATGCACAAATGTCAAAGAAAATTTGCAGTGAATGTCATGTTAAATATTACTAATTGCTGTTTGTCTAGACACGGGCAACTGAAGATTCAAGCTAACCGAGCTATCTATTACACAGTTGGATGTACAGAAGTGTTCAGAGCAAGGAGATGCTCTGTAACAAATATCTTAAATTCATCCGAGACAAAAAGAATAGATTTTATAAAAACCGGTATTTCTAGCCTCTGTTCTCACTGCTGTCTCTCGGTGTATAAATAAACAAAATAACTGGATGGAAATGCAGGATGGTGGAGTCAGAATGTCTGCAATCTCTTACTTCCCACTGAATTAACTCATGCACAGTTTACTTAAGCAGATGTTACAGTGCTATACCTTCACAGACTGATATGTTGTATTGTATGTCTGTAATGTCCCTTTCTCATAAAAATCACATCATGATAGATCTGATCATATATGAGTTTTGAAATGCATCAGTCACACTTCAGGTATCATATCTTGTCGCACATAAAATTCCTGGTCACACTTAACAGTGGCATTAAAAATGAGAATGTCGATCATTGCTGCTGGGTTTTCTTGGAGCTGATTTACAAGCAGCTGTCAAAAAGAAAGGACTTGTTTTTAAATAATATTTCTCACAATTTAAGGACATGCCAAAGCTCTTCATGGGCAGTTAAGTATGTTTGAAATATAATCATTGTTTTAAGGCAGGAAAAGGCAGCAGCCAATTTGCACATAGCTCGTTCCCAGAAACAGAACTGAAGTAAATAATAAGGTCGTCTGTTTCAGATGCTGGTTGAGGTATAAATACTGGCTAGGTCAACAGAAGAATTTATACTGTGCAATATTTTGTATTCAACCAGAGCAGCAGGTGGAGTCTTGTTTCACATCTCGTTCGAAAACTGCACCTTCAGCAGTGCAGTCCCTCAATGACGCACCAAATACTTAGCGTGAACTACATACTCAAGTCATTGATGTGAAATCATGACCTTCTGACTCAGAAATAAGAGTGCATCGCTCTGTGCCACTGCTGAAATGATCGAGCCAGAGACACTTGAGCATTGCCGCAAGAGGCAATATGCTGATGAAGCTTTGCATCTAGTCCTCAGTAGGACAGATGCATGAATATCAAATTTCAGAGGGAATGACAATTTATACTGCCTGAGGAATGGGTGCTTATTGGTTGGGAAACACCCAAAGAAACCTGCACAGCTAACACATAGCCCAGACCATCTCGGAAGCCAGTCTCCCATCCATGTACTCCATTTACACATCTCGTTGCTGCAGAAAGGCTGCCAACATCATCAAAGACCCCTCCCACCCCAGTAATACTCTCTTACAACCTCTTCTGTCAGGCAGAAGATACAGAGGGGTCGCACACGCATGCACCAACAGATTCTTCCCTGCTGTTATTAGACTGACAAATGGACTCTCTAACTTCAAATAATGTTGATCTTGCTTTGCACACTTCCCCTGTGCGGTGTATCCTCAATGCCACCCAACGATCTGCCTGTACTGCTTGCAAAACAAAGCTTTCACAGTACTTAGGTAATTGTGACTACAATAAATTAAGTTAAATCAAACAACTGCCTCAGTTGTCCACAAGATTTGTCTAAGAGATGCTAGTCTATATTTGACCTCAGGATGCGTCATAAATTTATTAGACTATGTGTCTTTAAAGAAGTACTTAGTTACACAGCAAGCTATCTCAGCAGCAGAAGATGACTACATTGTATGTCCATTTCCATATGAAAACTCTCCAGCTATTCTTTGAACAGTGTCTTGGTGTCATTTGATTTCACGGGAGAATGTGCACTGGGCCATGGCTTGATATATCATCCAAGAAGCTGCCCCTGCAGCTGTTCCTTGGCATTACACTGAAGTGGTAAACAGATTATGGATCAATTTCTGGAGTACGATTTGAGCAAACAAACTTCTGATTCAGAGAAAGGAGTAACACTCACTGAGCCAGAACAAACTCTGGTACAAGCTGATGTAATGTGCTCTCATTATAAAATAACAGTCATCTAAGCTACCATGAGTAACCTCGATGGACATCTGCTTTTCAATATTAAACTGAATAACGGAAATGACATGCAGTTGTAAATCTAATTTGTTCAATTTAGGACCTTTAATAGGGTGACTATCAAACATTAAAGGAATTGCTATACCCAGAATTCAATACCAAACTACTGACCTCTAGCAAATAGAGTAAGACATCATACTTAAAAGGATTTTTGATATTTCTTTGCGATCTTTACAATTCTCTCTAGTAGTTTCTTCAAAATTTAATTGGGAAGTCCATTTTGTAAATCATTTAGATGTATCGATAAACCACATTCACATGGATCCCCTCTTCCTGAAATAACAGCAACTTGCCAATGCTCTTCATTGTAAATATTATCTAATTAAGAACTCTCCAGTGTTCCTGGGCTTAATGTTTCATTAGCAGGCCCTCTCCTCCCTAGAGTGTAACAATATATTCAAGTTCAGTGCTTAATATTTATCCACAGCAATGGAGTTTACAGAGACACCCTTGAGGAATGCACTTTTCTAATTGCCAGAGGTGTGATAGCATTATTGCAGCATTGTCTGCAGGTATGAGTTTCAGAACGATAGTTTAGGACTTGTTTTGGGAGATGGGACAAAAGTAGTGCGTCAGAGTTATGTGTGAGTGCGAGAGCATGTGAAGTGAGTGAGAGAGGTGTGTAAAGTGTGCGTATGAGCATATGACGTGTCAGAAAGTATGTGAAATGGATATGTGAGAGAGAGATGTGGAAGTGAGTGTGAGAGGAGTATGTGAAGTGAATGTGACAGTGTGTGAAGTGGGTCTGACAGGGCTATGTGAAAGTGTGTGAGAGAGTGTCTGAAGTGAGTGTGAGAGGGTGTGTGAAGTGTGAGCGTGAACGTGAACGTGTGTGAGAAAGTGTGAGAGAGAGAGGGGTATGTGACAGTGTGAGAGCTTATGTGCTGTGAACGTGAGAAAGAGGGAGCGTGTGGAGTTCGGAGAGGGCTGTGTGCCTGGGATAGAGGCAGGAGCTTTGAATTGCGTGTGAGGCGAGCCCGGCAGGGGTTGAGTCTATCTCAGCTTTTTCCCCTGAGACTTCCAGCCCCTTCTGCTGATTCACCGGTTGCTGGAGAGCCACTTGCATGCGCTCCGCTCGCTCCAGCCGCTGTCCTTTCAGCTCACTCCCAGTCTACCCGCTCGGTTCAATGAGGCTCAGAGCCAGCATTGAGCCGCTGGCCGGCTATGTCTTCCTTCTGTTTCTTAGAGGTAAGCTTAACAATCACATCCGCTGCACAGGGGAAATAGTTTGACCACATTAGACTGGCTACAAGTCCCAGCCCTGGTTTGCAGTGCATTATTAATTTGTATCTAGTGAAGTAAAAATCCTCTTTCGATGTGTGTCTTGCAAAAGTGGGCGGAAATTAACATCGGCCTAGCTCCAGCCACTTCTAGTTTCAACCTGTTTATTTCTCAACCGACTTTTTTTTTAAAAAGTGAAACGCTTTTTAAATGTTTTGTCTGCTCTGTCAAGGTAAACAAAGAATGTTTGGATGAGGGGGAACGAGTTGAAAAGTGTTCACTGTTGGAAATCTGAAGACTTGTCAAAGTAATGAAAGCTGTTTTCTCTCTCCCGACACCCACCACCGTCCCCCCCCACCCCATTCCTTCTGTCCACCCGCTCTCCAACAAACCCCGATGATTTGTTCTGTAAAACAAGCTGCCCTGTCTACAGAAGGAGAGAGGATGCTATTTGCCAAACTCTTCACTAATTACAGTCAGTACATCAGGCCGGTGGAGAATGTGTCCAGGCCGGTGGTGGTGCAGTTCGAGGTCTCTCTGTCCCAGCTGATAAAAGTGGTATAGTATTGTGCTCTCCTTTACTTCCTGGCCTCATGCTGTGGGCTGACTTATCAGTGCCATTTGATCCTGTAACAACCCAATCTTTCCCTCCACAGGACGAGATCAATCAGATTATGGAGACCAATCTGTGGCTGAAACATGTAAGTGTCCTATCGTTTATCCTAACAGATTGATTTGCGCCCAGACCAAAAAGGCAAGGTTGTGATGAGGACGTGACTGTTTCCAGGGGAGAGGGACGGTTAGAGCTCTGGGGGCCTGCTCAGTATTGAATTTGCTGCTTGGATTATCACAGCGGGTTAGTTCCACATATGGGTGGAGTGAGGGGCTGGATGGGAGGTGGAATTGGAGTCCCACACCCTTCCACATGTGGGGGAGGGGTGTCCCATAATCTTCCACATATGGGGGAGGTACAACACCTTGTGGTGGGCAGGAATAGTGTGGTTACATCAGTGGTAAATCACAGAATTGTTACTGTGCTGAAAGATGCCATTCAGCCCATCATGACTGCACCTCATATCCTGCATGCTACTTCTATTTTTATTAAATTCATTCATGGGATGAAGGCGTCGCATTTATTGCCATTAGGGCAGTTAAGAGTCAACTACATTGCTGTGGGTCTGGAGTCACATGTAGGCCAGACCAGGTAAGGATGGCAGTTTCCTTCCCTAAAGGACATTAGTGAACCAGAGGGGGTTTTTTTAATAACAATTGACAACAGTTTAATGGTAATCAATATACTCTTAATTACAGATTTTTATGGAATTCAAATTCCATCATCTGTCATGATGAGATTCAAACCTAGGTTCCCAGAACATTACCTGGGTGTCTAGATTATTTATCTATCCATAGGCCATCACCTCCCCCTAAATATTTTAAATAATTATTCAATGCCCTCTTGAATGCCTTAATTGAACCTACATTCCCAGACAGTGAATTCCAGACCCTAACTGCTCACTGGCTGAAATAGCTTTTTGTCATATCACCCTTGCTTCATTTGCACATCACTTTTAAACTATGCTCTACTTTTCCGTTTACCAGAAGAAACAGCTTCTCCCTATTTACTGTATCCAGCCCACTCATGATTTTAAAAACTTCTATCAAATCTCTTAGCTGCCTTCTATTCAAGGAGAACAGTCCCAATGTTTTCAATCTACTCTCACAACTGAAGTTTCACATTCCTGCAACCATGCTTGTAAATCACTTTTGCACTCATGTACTTCCTATGATGTGGCGCTTACAGTTGTACACAAACTCCAGCTGAGGTGTAACAATTGTCCTCTACAGTGGACGAAGTTTGTATTTGCATTAATGAAGGGAGGGAGTGACTGACAGCAACTGAGAAAACTCTGCAAAGTGATTGTATCCATGCCAAACCAACGAGGGAAGAACACAGAAGGGAAAGGATGTTAGGGAGAAGAATAAAGTTCTGAGGAAGGGTCACAGGACCCGAAACATTAACTCTGTTTTTTCTTTCATGGATGCTGCCAGACCTGCTGAGCTTTTCCAGCAACTGTTTTTGTTTCTGATTTACAGCATCCGCAGTTCTTTCGGTTTTTATTGAATATTAGGGAGAACCTGGTAAGGAGATGAGATAGAATGTAATAAAAGTAAAGTATTGACATAAAAACAGAAAATGCTGGAGAAACTTGTTCAGTCTGGCAGCATGTGGAGAGAGAAACAGAGTTTAGGTTTCAAGTCGTAGAGTCATACAGCATGGAAACAGACCCTCTGATCCAACTGGTCCGCACCGACCATACATTGTTCCATTTGCCAGCATTTGACCCATATCACTCTAAACCCTTCCTATTCATATACCCATCCCGATGCCTTTTAAATGCTGTAATTGTACCGGACTCCACCACTTCCTCTGGCAGCCTGCTCCATAAATGCACAACCCCCTGCATGAAAAAGTTACCCCTCGGGTCGTTTTAAATCTTTCCCCTCTCACCTTAAACCTATGCCCTCTAGTCTAGGACTCCCCACCCCAGGAAAAAGACCTATTAAACCTTTACAAGGTCACCCCTCAGCCTCCGAAGCTCCAGGGAAAAAAGGCCCTAGTCCATTTAGCCTTTCCCTATAACTCAAATCTGATTTGACTCCTTCTCACAATGGAGATAGAATGCGATAGCTTTGACAACACCTCCAAAACCCCATGACCTCTACCACTGAGAGGCACATGAGGTCATGATAGGAACAGAAAGAGGCTATTTAGGTTTGCTCCACCATTCAATCACATCAAAGCTGATCTGACCGTGACTTTAACTGCATCATTTCAGCCTCCTCCAGAGGTCCCCAGCATCACAGATGCCAATCTTCAGCAAATCTAATCAATCCACATCTTATCAACAGTTAGAGGCACTGGATACTACAAAAGCTATGGGTGCTGACAACATTCCGGCAATAGTACTGAAGACCCGCACTCCAGAACTTACCGCTCCACTAGCCAAGCTGTTCCAGGACAGCAAGAATACGGATGTCTACATGACAATGTGGAAAATTGTTCTGAACAGGACAAATCCAGAACAAAAACAAAGTTGCTGGAAAAGTTCAGCAAGTCTGGCAACGTCTGTGAAGAAAAAAAAGAATTAACGTTTCGGGTCCGGTGACCCTTCCTCAGAACTGATGCTGCCAGACCTGCTGAGCTTTTCCAGCAACTTTGTTTTTGTTCCAGATTTACAGCATCCACAGTTCTTTTGGAATTTATGCAGGACAAATCCAAACTGGTCAATTATTGCCCCATTAGTCTACTCTTGATCATCAATAAAGTGATGGAAAATGTCATCAACAATGCTATCAAACTGCACCTACTCAGCATAACCTGCTCACTGATGGCCAGTTTGAGTTCTGCCAGGACCACGTAGTTCCTGACCTCATTACAGCCTTGGTTCAAACATGGACAAAGGAACTGAATTCCAGAGGTGAGTTGAGTGACAGCCCTTAACTTCGAGGCTGCACCTGGCTGAGTGTGCCAAGAAGGAACCCTAGCAAAACTGGAATCATTGTGTATCGGGGGAAAGCACTCTGCTGGTTGGACAAAGATAATTGTGGTTGTTGGAGGTTAGTCATCTCAGGCCCAGGACATCTCTGCAGAAGTTCCTCAGGGTAATGTCACAGCCCAACCATCTTCAACTTCTTCATTAATGATCTTCCCTCCATCCTAAAGTCAGAAGTGATGATATTTGATTTGAATAATGATTGCACAATATTCAGCACCATTCACAGCTCCTCAGATGCTGAAGCAATCCACATCCAAATGCAGTAAGACCTGGATAATATCTAGACTTGGGCTGAAAGGTGGCGAGTAAGTCACATCACACAAATGCCAGGCAATGACCATCGCCAATAAGAGATAATCTAACCACCACCCCTTGACATTCACTGGCGTCAGCATCACTGAATCCCCCACTATCAACATCCCAGGGGAGGGTTACTGTTGACTAGAATCTGAACTGAATTAACCGTATAGATACAGTGACAACAAGAGCAGATCAGGGGCTAGGAATCCTGCAGCAAGTAACGCACCTCCTGATTCCACAAAGCCTGTCAACCATTTACAAGGCACAAGTCAGGAGTGTGATGGAATACTCCCCACTTGCCTGGATGGATGCAGCTCCAACAACATTTGAGAAAATTGGCACCATCAAGGACAAAGCAGTCCACCTGACTGGCACACATTCACTCCCTCCATCACCGATGCTCAGTTGCAGCAGTGTGTGCTATCTACAAGATACACTGCAGAAATTCACCAAGCCTTCTTAGACAGCACCTTCCAAACCCATGACCATTCCATCTAGAAGGAGAAGGGCAGCAGATACATGGGAACATTGTCACCTACAATTTCTCCATCCACGCTATTCACCATCCTGACTTGGAAATATATCACTGTTCCTTGACTGTCGCCAGGTTAAAGTCCAGGAGTTACCTCTCTAAGGGCATTGTGGGTCAACCTACATATCTTGTTCAATTATGTCTACTGGGTCAATGTTCCTGAATTCCCTACCTAACATGATACAGTCAAAGTTGTAAAGCACAGAAACAGACCGTTCAGTCCCACTTATCCATGGCGACCAGACATCCTAAATTAATCTAGTCCCATATGCCAGCATTTGGCCCATATCCCTCTAAACACTTCCCATTCATATGCCCATCCAGATGCCTTTTAAATATTGTAATTGTACCAGCCTCCATCACTTCCTCTGGCAGCTCATTCCATACACGCATCACCCTCTGCGTGAAAAAGTTACCCCTTAGATCCCTTTTATATCTTTCCCCTCTCACTTTAAACCAATGCCCTCTATTGGGTCACTGGACCCGAAACATTAACTTTGAATTTTTTCTTTGAATTCAAATAGTTAACCTCTCCCTGGATTCCATGTGATCTAACCAGTCTAGCATGTGGAACCTTGTCATTCTGAACTCCATATAGACAACGTCTACCAATTTGCTTCCATCAATGTTTTCTGCCACTTCTTTAAAAACAACACTATGAAATTGGTGAGACACTACTTCCCATACAAAAAGCTATGCTGACTATCCCTAATCAGTCCTTTTCTTTCCATAATATTTAGATCCTGTTCCTCAGAATCCCCTCCAATAATTTGTCCACCATCAATGTCAGGCTCACTGGTCTATAGTTCCCTGGCTTTCCCTTACCACCTTTCTTAAATAATGGCACTACATTAGCCACTCTCCAGTCTTTCGGCACCTCACCCATGGGTATCGATGACAGCACCATCATAACAAGGGTGGTAACAGCTCACACAGGTGCATTAACCACAACCTTATCAGGGAAGCTGAGAGTGGGAAAGGAGTGCCATTCTTCTGACACCAATACCCAGGAACAAATAATTAAAAACAAAAGATCTACTTATCTGTAAAGGATGGCCATTTGAAATACATGTAGGAGAAAATTGAGGTTTTGTTCTTGGAAATTACTATTTCATATAAGACAACTATGGTTGCCCATAGGAAACAAACTCAAAACTGGAGTTAGGTTCCTTCAGATATTTTCTTGTCCAATATGTACAACAGTGTTATTAGCAGAAATCACTTGCAAAATAAAATATACTACCAAGTATGACAAAGGAAATGGTCTAAAATAAGAACAGAGAGAGGAAGGCAAGGCTGGGGCAAGGGCAGAGGGAAGCAACACCAGAGGGGAAGCAAGAATAGATGAGAAACAAGGGAACATTAGGAGGTAACGTTGGGGAGAGGAGGCAATGCTGGCAGGGCAGTTGAGAGAAGTGTGGGACAGGTGGTGGGGTGTGGGAAGAAATTGACAAGGGATAAGGCTAGGGTAGGAGAGGCAATGACATTCAACCGGAAAGGTTAATGTAATTTGCAGAAACAATCTCTAAAATATAACAACTTTCAAAAGAAATTATGTTCAGCAGGGTGATATAAACAATCTGCATCAGGGAGCTGCTGGCACCATTGAAACACTTAACCCAATAAAGAATGCAATACTTCTGGGCAGGATAGGACTTTGGGAAACAAAGCTAAGGCAGCAGCTTCCAGAAGAATGTTGTAAATCTGTTCCTGACTCAGACAGGATTTCATTAATTTCACCTTATACGAGATAAGATAACATTGATTTTCCATCAAACAAGAGGCTGCTCATTTTATGCACTGCGGTTATATTTATTGGCGGTTTAAATAATTAATAAACTTACATTTCCAATTCAAAGTGATAATAACATCACTCAAAGCTACTCAACCGCAAACAAGCCATTTCTTAGCAATTCCATGTGTCAATAACACTTCCTTACATAATAAATATGCTCGGTGACAAACACTGGTGAATCTGTATCTCTGGAACAGTAATGCCTTGCTCTGATGAAAGGTTATTGAATTGATGCATTTAAATCTTTTTTCACAGACAGTCCTAAACCTGCTAAGCATATCCAGCATTATCCATTTTCATCACAAACTTAGGCAAGACAGGATCATATTTTTTCATTTACGGTGAACCATCAGAGATTCACAAAAAAAAAGGCTAGCTCCTTGTTTAATTCCTCACAGCATATTATTACTGGCAAAGTCACTTCTGAGTGTAGTTAGGAAGTTGTGAGTTCAAGACTTAAATACAAATTCTACTGCAGTGATGCTTTACTGCCTGAGATAGGGTGATTCTGATGAAATTTTAAACGAAATCCCTGTCTCCCATCAGCTGGCTGTAAGCAATCCCACGGCACTGTTTGAAAGAACAGCAGGGGTGGCTGTTGGAGCCTCTGATGTCATAAGCTGCTGTGTCTCATTTTACAACAGTGATTAGACTTCAAAATGGGAGACCTAATACATAGGCTTATGAAATGCTGCAATTGCTATTTCAATGGGGTTGGAATACAAGAGTAGGGAAGTCTTACTGCAACTGTACAAAGCAACAGAGACCACATCTGGAGTACTGCGAGCAGTTTTGGTTCCCTTTTTTAAGGAAAGCTATTATTGCATTGGACACAGTTCAGAGAAGGTTCAGCAGGATGATCCCTGGTACGGAGGGATTGTCTTATGACCAAATGTTAAACAGGTTGGGTGTGCTACTTACTGGAATTTAGAAGAATGAGAGGTGATCTCATTGAGACATATAGAATTCTTAAGAGGCTTGACAGGGTAAATGCTGAGAGGATGTTTCCCCAGTGGGAGAGTCCAGAGGGCACAGTCTCATAATAAAGGGACACCAGTTTAAGACTAAGATGAGAAGGAATTTCTTCTCTCAGGGGGTTTAAAGTCTTTGGAACTCCTTGCCACAGAGAACTGTGAGGGCAGAGACCTTGTGTATATTTAAGGCAGAGGCAGACAGATTCTTGATCAAATGGGGAAATCAAGGGGACAGGGCAGGATTTAGCCATGATCCTACTGAATGGTGTTATATAGCCAATGTGGATCAAAGTGCAACTGGAGTTTAACAACAGTCCATACTGTCTACATATCCTTGTAGACCTATCAGTTTTTGGAAAATATATTAACCTTTCAGCTCTATCAAACTAATACACCAAAATAATAGGCATTATCCTTTAATAGCTTGTGTCATACAAAAATGCTCCACTTCAAGAGATTAATTTGACAAAATGCAATTTCACCACTCCATCTGGTCACCTACATTCTCCCCTCTGTAAACTTGAAGTCATCCAAAACCCCCTGTCTCTGCCCTAGCTCACTCCAAGTCCCATTCTGCCCTCAACCCTGTGCTCATTGATCTAAGTTACCTTCTAGTCAAGCAACATCTTGATTCTATAATTCTTATCCTTGTTTTCAAATCCCTGTTTGGCCTTGCCCCTCTTTATCTCTGGAATAGAGTACAAGAGCAAGGAGGTGATGTTGAACTTGGGTAAGAGACTTTTTAGACCTCAACTGGAGTATCGTATACAGTTGTGGGCACTATATTATAGGAAGAATATGAACATATTGGAGAAAGTGCAGAAGTAGTTTAGAAGAATGATTCCAGGAGGAGAGACTTCAGTTATGAGGATAATTTGAAGTGGTTAGCACTGTTGCCTCAGTGCCAGGGACCCGGGTTCAATTCCACCCTCGGGCGACTGTCTGTGTGCAGTTTGCACATTCTCCCTGCGTCTGCATGGGTTTTCTACCGGATGCTCCGGTTTCCTCCCGCAGTCCAAAGATGTGTGGGTTAGATGGATTGGCCATGATAAATTGCCCCGTAGTGTCCAGGGATGTGCAGGTTGGGCGGATAAATCATGGGAAATGTGGTGGTATAGGGATAGTGTGGAGGGGGCTGTCTGGATGGAATGCTCTTTGGAGGGTTGGTGTGGATTCGATGGGCCCAATAGCCTCTTTCTGCACTGTAGAGATTCTAAGTTGGGACTGTTATATTTGGAGAGAAGGAGGCTAGGAGAAGATCTGATTGAGTTTTCAAAATCATGAGCGGGCTGGACATGGTACAAGAGAGAAACTGTTAACAGGAACAAGAATGAGGGGGCATATCGTACACACCTCTGAAGTATCAGCGCTCCCCTAATTCTAATTTCTAATGCAATCTCAACCATTATTTAATTGGTGGTTGTACCTTTAGTTGCCTAAGATTCAAATTTGGAAATTCCCTCCCTACAGTTTTGCCTTAATTTCCTCCTTTAAGACAGTTCTCAAAACTTAGCTCTTTGACCATGATAATGTAACCTTACGTGGCTTGATGTCATACTTTGCTTTATAATGTTCATGTTATTAAAGGTGCTATATAACTATAACTTGTTCTTTTAATACTACCACGTAATGTTGTGTTTAATAACTTCAACCTATCTTTTGTCCTTTCTGCCTCCTTCAGATATGGAGTGATTATAAGCTAAAGTGGGATCCTGCTGAATATGGAGGTGTCAAGTCTATTCGCATTCCTTCTGAAAAAATCTGGAAACCAGACATTGTCTTGTACAACAAGTAAGTGAGGTCAAATTAACCAGCTACTGGCACAGCTGAACTGTAAACTTTGACCTCGTTCATTACAGACAATAACATTACTACAATTAGATCTGGAATGGGTTAATTAGTAAACCACACTATTCAATATAGAGCCAAGATAAACAGACAGCAACGTTTCCAGTTAATTCCCCAGATACATTTGTAATCAATGTGTGCAAAGATGTCATTACATACCTCTGGAGCAGGTGAGACTTGAATCTGGACCTCTTTATTCAGAGCTTGGGACACTACCACTGCACAAGAGCTCTGGTTTGATCTCAGTTTATCTTCATAAAATCAATTTGTTCAGAGATGCTATGACACATTTCTGGAACAGGTGAGACTTAAACTCAGCTCTCCTGGATCACAGGTGGGAACGCTACCACTGTGCCACAAGAGGCCTACTTTGAGCCCAGAATTAACTGCCCCCTGATGTGCAATTGACAGATGCAATGGGTCTCAGAGACTCTAGGGAAACATTAGGGCTCCTGCTGTCCAGTGGTCCACATATTTGTATGTCAGATTGGGCTGAGCTAGGGTGTAATGTTTCCCGTTCTTAAGCAGCCCAGTGACTTAAACAAACACATTGGGCTGAAATATCTTAGGCTTCTGAGTGTCCATGGAACCACGCCCCTGCAAAATTCAGTGTCATCTGGAGGCCAATTGGTTTTAGCTCAATAAAACTTGATGTGAAATATAGATCGAATAAAACAACCGACAATGATATCTAGCTTGTCACCTATCTCACTGTTGCCCATGCCAAACAATTCCATGATACACCAATACACCAAGGTTCTTGAGGAATCACAAGCTGTTACACAACCAAGACTTGAAGAGTTTTATCATCCTTTGGTAATGTCAAGGAGAGCAGATTCATGGAATAGAATCAATTGCATTAAATAAACAAGACAGATTCAAGTGCATCACACACACTCAAAATATAGCAGATACTGGAAATATGAAATAAGGCAGAAAGTGCTTGAAAATTAAACCATTCTGGTAGCATCTTGGGAGAGAGAAACAAAGTTAATGTTTTGAGTCCAATATGACCCTTCTTTGGAACCAGAGAGAGCTGGAAAAACTTAGAAGGAATTGGGCCATTTGGTCCAACTAATCTGTTCTGCTGTTTATACTCCACACAAATCTCCTTCAACTGTATGTATTAACTCTGAAGAGTTCTGACATATCTGTCTATTCCCTTTACCCTCATGAATACAACTCGTCTTTTTTTGGAAGCACCCATGTTATTTATCTCCAGCCCATTCTGTGGTAGTGAATTCCATATTCTCACTACTTTGGTTAAAGGAATTTCTCCTCCTTTCCTTATTGAATTTATTGTTGATGATTGATGGAATTCGTGTACAAGTCATTACTAGAAAACATCTATAATCTTCTCAGATTTCCTTAGTAGAAAGGGCAGAATCAAAATTATTGTCAGAGGATGGGAAGTAGAACGAGGACAAGGTTAATTCTGCAATGAAAAATAAAAACGTATTCTTTCTGGATTCCCCGTGTTTTGCTTTCACACAAGATGATAGTTTAGTGATGATTCTACCAACGCTGCATTGCATTAGGCTCACGGGCTTTCTCCTACACTTCCTAACTTACCAGCCCATTTCATTTGGCCAAGATCAATGCAGGCAGAAATGCTGCCAGAGTACAATTAAAGTGATGTGAAATTTATAGGAACACTAATTCACATTAAAATCAATAAATTATTCCACATGAGCTGTGCACTTAATGAGACTGGGTGCCCATTTCATGAATAAGCAATATAGTTCACCATGCACACTGACATTTTTGCAGATGTACAGTAAATGTGAGTTGCTTTGAAAGTGTCAGTTTAGTTAGTTAGTGGGGTTCTTCCGTCTGAATCTGCGTCGCAATGAGTCCAAGCTCACGGAGTGGAGGACTGGCAGTGTTTCTGGGGAGGACAGAGAGGACTTTGGGGCAACTGTGAGGGCACAACTATTTTTCTGCTGGGGTAAAACAGAATTAGAGGGGACTCAGAGCGTGAAGATTGGGGAGGGGGTGATAGGGTGTGTAAATGGCACCCAAGGGGGGGTGAAGGTGTAGAGGGCACCCAAGGAGGTGGTGGTGCTAGTTATAGGGCACCCAAGGGGGGTCGGGGGGAGAAGTGGAGGTGGAGGACATCCTAGACACCATTGGATGATCATTTGATAAAGAAAATGTGTAAGGATATGGGTAGAAAAGCAGCAGATTGGCACTAGATAATGATACTAGGTAACTAGTTCATGCAGACTCAATGGGCTGAATGGTCTTTTTGGTGCCATAACCCTTCTGCAATTCTATGAAACTTGATGTTGGAAATGAATCTTCATTCTGGATGTATTCGAGGGCACCTAACTTCCACTCAAAGGAACTAATTTTTAAAAAGCATATATCCAAAAGTGCTGTTGCACACAACTGAACGGTTATTACCTATCACCAAATCACTTGTTTTTTTCACCTATTAACCATCCGTGCTCTCCAATTGAATAACTTGCATGCAAAACCCATTAAAGGACAATGGAAACTCAGAAGGTGATGGAGAGGAAGGGAGATTGGGAGGGGCTGGAACAAAATGGAGTTGGAATTTAATTAAAAATACCTCTTGGAAGGTTCGTAAAAATTAGCAGAAACGTCCACTGATGATTGATTCATCCAATGAGCATGACTAGTATTATATCTGGGGCCAGTTTCTAACTGAACGCTAGAGGGCTCATGAGGCACAATGATAACATCCTTAGCTTTAGGCTAGGAAACCTGGATTTAAATCCTACATGCTCCAGAGATGTGTACATAACATCTCTGAATAGACTGACTAGGGGAAAATACCTAACTATCAGCCTTTTAGTTATTTTAATCAACCTGTGTGGACATGTTATGACACACTTTCAGGACAAGTGGGACTTGAACCCAGACCTTTTGACCCAGAGGTAGGCACCACAATGCCCAACAGAAATCAAATCCATTATCTTAATCAAATGGCCATGACTAAAGGCTAGTAGGAGCTTTTTAAACTATTCCAACAGATTCTGGAAAATTAATTTTGATTGAACAAAATTTGTGTTTAAAATTCCACGATACTTTGCTCATGTTATTCTGATTTTGGGTAGATTGCAAAGAAACTGACGCATCACAATTCCATTTTCTAGCCTGGCACGAGAGTGTACTTCTTTCATTGGGATGCACCATCACCAGCAAGGCAAACATTTGCTGTCCATCTCCAAATGACCTTGAACTGAGTGACTTGTTAGGTCATTGCAGAGGGCAGTTAAGATTCAACCACATTGTTGTGGATCTACAGTTGCATGTAGGCCAGACTGGGTAAGGAGGGTGAATTTCCTTCCCCTTATGGGCATTGTAGTGTAACAGATGAGCTTTTATGACAACCAATGGTCAGATCACCATTACGGCGACTAGTTTTCAATCCCAGAATTAATTTAATTTTAATCCCACCAGCTGATTTATATCCACGAATCCAGGGCATTAGCCTGAGGCTAGGGCTCTTGGGGCACAGTGATAATGTCCTGACCTATGGGGCAGGATGACTGGGTTCAAGTCCCACCAGCTCCGGAGGTGTCATAAAATCACTGAACAGATTGATTAAAAATATCACTAGCTACAGCCTCTGGTTTAATACTCCAGTACATTACCACAACACAATTGTATTACATTGTCAGAGATGCTGCCTTTCAAATGAGATATTGATGTCTGACTACATTCTTCAAGTGGATAAAATAATCCTACAGCAGTCTTTCAACAAGCAATAGTTTTGCAAATATCCAGGGTAATATCTGTTCCATTACTGCAACAGATTGACTGATCATTTATCTTCATGAATTGGATCTTGCTGTGCTCTCCTACAAAATGACAATGACAACATTTGACTGTAAGACGTTTTGGAATGTCCTTACGATGTGAACGATGTTACTCAAGTTCCTCCCTGTAAAGACAGACAGAGAACGAAAACGTGCTACACAATGGAAAGAAGCCACTTAGGCCTATTAAGAGACGTGATGGCCTAATGGTATTATCAATAGACAGTTAATCCAGAGACCCAGGTAATGTTCTGGCACCTGGGTTTGAATTTGAACTCAATAAAAATCCAGAATTAAGAGTCTAAAGATGATCATTAATCCATTGCCGATTGTCAGGAAAAACCCATCTGGTTCACTAATGTCCTTTGGGAAGGAAACTGCCATCATTACCTGGTCTGGCCTAAATGTGACTCCAGACCCACAGTGATTGTTTGACTCTTAACTGTCCTCTGGGGCAATTAGGGATGTGCAATAAATGCTAACCCAGCCAGCGATCCACAATGCTGTAAATGAACAAAAACATTTATATTTATTCAGGACCTCTGCTGGAAAAGTTCAAACACTACAACTCCCTAGCCTGACTAGCCCTTGACTTGCTCCATCTATCTATTCATTCTACCTTTTGCGGATCATCAATCTCTGCCTCCATCATTCCCTCTGGATATGCATTCCATATGCCAACAATACAATTTCTCCTTACCTTGAAACTCATTTTCTCAATGGCATTTTTAATTTAACTCCTTATGGCACACTCAGAAATAGACGAAATTGGATTTCCCTATTCAGTCTGCTAAATCTCCTGTTATCCTCCACTATTTAAGTGTCTACCTAAGACTATTTACAATTCCTAGAACAGCTTGATGAATCTATACTGTGTGCTCTCTATGGTGTCTTTTTGCAACGGAAGACCATTTGTAAGCCCAGAGATCTAACAATTATCCTGTATGGTGAAGTATCATCCCTCGCTCAGTGCTTGCCTTCATCATTAGGCCACTCAGCTATTCAATGAAGTCACAGCTGTTTTGATAATCGTCAACTCCACCTTCTTGTCCTTTCCCCATAACCGTCCATTCCCTTACTGATTAAAAATTTGTCTATTTCAGCTTTGAATATATTTAAAATGCCACCCTCTCTAGCCCTCTGTGGTAAAGAATTTCACAGATTTACTATTCTCTGAAAGAAGAACATCCCCCTAATCAACCCTAATGAATCTTCTATGGACTGCTTCTTTCCTTAGATAAGAGGCCCAATTCCGTCCAGAGGATTCTAGGTGTAGTTTAAGTCATGTATAGTTTTAGCAAGGTTTCCCTCTTTTTATAGTCTATTTACTTTTGAAATTAAGGCCAACATTCCATTTGCCTTCCCTATTACCTGTTGAACTTCTAGCTTAATATTTTGTGATTTATGCACAAGAACTCCCGAATTCCTCTGTGTCAAGATTTTTACAATCCTTCTCTATTTAAACAAGATTCATCTCTGCTAACCTTTTTGCCAAAGTTCACAATAATCTCATGTTTTCCCACATTATATTCTGCAAGGTTTTTGCCAATTCACAACTTTTCAACATCGCTCTCTGTTACCTCTGTGTTATCCTCACCACTTGCCTTCCCATCTATTTTCGTACCGTCCACAAACATGGCTATAGTACGCTCACACATTTACTTCCCTTGTCCAAGTTAATAATATATACTTTAAATATTTATGGCCCCAGCACTGATCCCTGTGGCACACTGTTAGTTACAGGTGGCAATCCTGAAAGTGCTTCTCTTATTCCAACTCTGTCTCCTTTTATAAAACAAAGAACTGGGTGTATGCTGGAGATCCGAAACAAACAACAGAAATTACTGGAGAAACTCAGCAGGTTCGGTGGCATTTGTGAAAACAGCATGAATGTTTCAAGTCCAGGAATCCTTCTTCATTGTTCTGACTCGATAGCTGTACTCACAGGCCAACAGTCTAACACACAATTACAAAGATCAGTGAACAAGCCAACACAACCTGCTATAGATCAATTACCATTAAACACTACAGGGATTCCTGAGGTCATGAAAGGTACACATTTAAATGTAAATCTGTTCTTATTTGTACACGTTTATCCTTACCACTGTATACATTAAGCTTTTTAAGTCTCATTCTTTCATTGTGAAATCTGAATTTTAGCTGCACTATCCATGAAAGCAAACAGCAGGACCCAAAGCAGGATCCAAAACACTGATGACATTGCAGCACTTCTCTCTGTTGCAAGTATTAACGTGAATTATGAGTGAGGCTTGAGCCTAGCATACTAGCTCAAGAGTCTATCAACTCAGCCACACTATCGTAGATAAATTGTTCCAAGTCATCCTTTAAATATTTTACTAAACTGCTGAATGGCCAACATTTTGTGGATAAGTCCTTACAGAGGCTGTTTGGAGTGAGTTCACCATCTTTTTGGAAGCTTAGCTGTAGAGAATTTAAACAAAGTACCATCTTGAAATGATTGTTCACATGTGAATCACAAACTGTTTAACCCCAAAGTAAATCATCTGTGGCTCACCATGGCTACTTACAGCCATGTGTCATTTCACAATGCAGTAGGCCATTCAGCCCATCTAACTGAAGGTCTCATTCCTCATTCAAGGTATTCTCTTCAAATCAGGAGCGTGAGACTTCTAAATGAGAAAAAGATAAAATGGTGTAGTGCTAATGTCACTGGGCTACTAAACTACAGGCTAATACTCTGGTGATATGGGTTCAAACCCAAACATGTTATCTGGTGGAATTTAAATGCAATTAACAAATTCTTGAATATAAAGCCAATTTCAATGATGATAACTATCATTCAAAAAAAATACAAATTCCTTTCTCAGAAGAAAAAAATTTGCTGTCCTTATGCAGTCTGGTCAACGTGCGACTCCACACCCACAGCAATGTGGTAGGCTCCCAACTGTCCTTTGAAATGGCCGAGAGAGACACTTAATACATGGACAATAAATGCTGGCCTTGTCAGCGATGGCCACATTCCATTAAAGAAAGTGTCAAAATTCAGTTTGGGGCTTGGAAATCGTTGAAAATAGAAGTGGAGACTGATCTTTCTCTCTCTCTCTATGGTTTGTGACCACAGTGCAGTTGCTGATTTCCAAGTGGATGAAAAGACCAAAGTCTTGGTAAAGTTCGATGGGACCGTGACCTGGATACCACCGGCCATATTCAAGAGCTCCTGCAGGATGGACGTGACTTACTTCCCCTTCGACTACCAGAACTGCAGCATGAAGTTTGGCTCCTGGACCCACGACCAAGCCAAAATCGACTTGGCTTTAATCGGCAACGAGATCAACAGGAAGGACTTCTGGGAAAGCGGCGAATGGGAGATCATCGCTGCGCCAGGGTTCAAACACGCCATCAAGTACAATTGCTGTGAAGAGATCTATCCAGACATAACCTACTCAATTTACATAAGACGAATGCCACTCTTCTACACCATCAACATCATCATCCCTTGCCTGATGATCTCTTTTCTGACTATTTTGGTTTTCTACCTGCCTTCTGACTGTGGAGAGAAGGTAACTTTGAGTATTTCAGTACTGCTGTCCCTTACTGTGTTTCTTCTGGTCATCACTGAGAGCATACCATCCACCTCCCTGGTGATTCCTCTTATTGGGGAATATCTGCTCTTCACCATGATCTTTGTGATTCTATCCATTGTTATAACGGTCTTTGTGCTCAACATCCATTACAGAACCCCCACGACCCATACCATGCCAGTCTGGGTGAAAACCATCTTCTTAAAGCTGCTGCCACGGGTTATGTTTATGAAGAGACCGACGGCTAGTTCTGAGGTTCAAAAGAACCCCAGGTTTTTCAACAGCAACACTGAGCTCACCAGCATCAACAGCTTCAGCAGAGGATCCAAATCCAAATGCCAGGACCCACACTGCACTCGCTGCAGGTTCTGCAAGATGAAGAATCAGGATGTAGGCGTCAACTCAACACAAAGCTCCAGCACAGAGTCCCTAGATGCCGTGCTCACAATCTCCTCTCTGCCTCCTGAGGTTCAAGAAGCAATCGGGAGTATCACCTATATTGCAGAAAACATGAAGCTGCAGAATGAGTCTAAAGAGGTGACAAACTGTAGATGCATTTTTTTTTACACCAAGACATACAAAGGGGTTTCTTCAAATGAAGCAGACTTGGAGAGTTGGAGATAATAGAGCCAGGCCGAGCAGACATAATGCCATTCCCACCTTCTAGGTGCACATTCAGTCATTCCATACATCTGTTAGGATTTCTTACGTTCACATTTGAATGTAAATGTAGCACTTTGTAATTACAAGTAAAAAGGATGCTGGAAATCTGAAATAAAAACAGAAAATGCTGGAAACACTCCAGAGGTCAGGCTGCATCTCTGGAGAGAGAAAGAGTTGGAATTTCAGGCTGAATATCCATCATCATTTTGGGAAAGGTCAGGCTGGAAGCAAGAATGTGTGGGGTTAAAAAAAAAAGTCTGTGATAGTTAACTTAGGATGTGCAGATGAAATTTTAAACACTGTTACAATTATTTCAAGGCAATAAGGATTTTGGATTAAAAGTAGGGATAATTACAACCAAATACAAGGCGCAAAATGATACTGAAAGTATATCTCTGTGGAAATATAAACAGAATCTGAGCTCATTATCTAACTCATGAGTCTCTGTGGAAGCTTAGAATTCCTGGGGGTCCTAATCAAAATGTTATTACCAAACTACAGAGTCGTTAATAGCCGCATCATCTTAATAGCAGTAGAAAGATTTAAACAGAACAAATTGACATCAGCAGGCAGCCCCAACAGAGCTTTCCTTACAGCAGATATGATCCTTCAATATAGAAGGGAGACTCCTTTGGCGTTTGAAACTCATCAAATGTCAGACCAGGAATCCACTATTCCTTAAGCCTGCTGTCACTATTTGTGTCATGGCCTGGATCCTTAAGAAGTTATTTTCCAGTTTGTTACTTCTTTCATCAAGTAGTCAAATTTAGGAATGATGCAAGCAAAGGCTTCTTCAAAGACTGATCAACTCATGTCAAGCTCCAGTTTTCATGTTTACAGAATGATTTAAATGCTGTCCTTTATTTTTGGACATTTATCTGAAACTATACTGTCCACCAATCCACTCATTTGAATTACTCGTGCAGGATAGAAAACTGTACTTTAAGAAAGGGAGAGCATGGGGGGGGGGGGGGGGGGGGGGGGGGGGGGGGGGGGGGGGGGAGTAGGTGAGAGAAGAGAGAGAGAGAGAGAAAAGAGACAGAGACAGAGAATAGAGAGAGAGAAAAGAGACAGAGAGGGGAGAGGTATGATTTTTATTCAGTATAACCCCACATATAACTGCAAAATGGGCAAAAATTGCAGGTGAATTTACATTGGAAAAAACATACAGGGGAAATTTTCACTCTGCATTTAGTGCCAGATAAAAGGTTTGCATGAGTAAGGTTTCATTTCATAATTTATCTATAATATTGATTAGCAGCTGATTTCAGAATGAAAATGTATAAGCACTGGGAAGGAAATAAATTTGCAGGGCTACAAGAGGAGAAAATGAGGAAATAGAACTGGCTTGCTATAAACTCAATGGGCAAAATGTTCTCCTTCTGTGTTATAACAGCAGTGATTGTAAGTATCCCTTCAGATTGATGTAGGATTGCTCTCCTCCTGGCTTCCCCAAATCACTAGAGCAACCACTTCCAGTGGCACAGGTTGACATCTGGTGGCAAAAGCTAGTGCTGCACCTACAGCTGTCTGCAAATCTTTAGCCTGAGCTCACTTTCTTTTACTCAATGTTGGACTGGGCTCCCTATTGGATCGTAAAAGAACAGCTTAATTAATGTTTACTAAAATTCTTTAATAAATAGGCATTGTCCTGTTTCACACTGCACCTTGTGACGTGGCAATGATCCACACAGACCAGAATATATACCAGGTTTAATTCTTGATTTGTGCTCATGTAGGACCATTCCCAGTCATAGCAACAACACAAAACACTGCAGTTGGGCATAGAACAGCCAGAGATGATCATTCATGCTTTCTGTTGCTGAATGACACTGGTTAGTGGAAAACAAACAGAGAATGGAGAAACTTAGCAGCTCTGGCAGCAACTGTGGAGCGAGAGACAGTGTTAAGGCCTCAAACCCAGTATGAGACTTCTTCAGAACTCCACAGAGTCATATATCCATAGATCATGGAAACAGAGCCTTCGATCCAAGTAGACCATGTTAACCATGTTGCCAAACTAAACTAGTCCCACTTGCCTGCATTTGGCCCATATGCCTCCAAATCTTCTCTTGGCTTTTAAGTGCTGTAACTGTACCTGCACCCACCAGTTCATTTCACACACAAAATACTACGTTAAAAAAAAGTTGCCTCTCAGGCCCTTTTTAAAAAACTTTCTCCTCTTGTCTTAAAAATATGCCCCAGAGTTTTGAACACTCCTATCCTAGGGAGAAGACCCTTGCTATATTCACCTTATCTAAGACTCTCATGATTTTATAAACCTCTATGAGGTCACCTCTCAACTTCCTATTCTCCAGTGAAAGAAGTCCCAAACTATCGAGCCTGTCCTTGCAACTCAAGCCCTCCATTCCCAGCAACGTTCTGGTAAATCTTTTCTGAACCCTCTTCAATTTAATAATATCCTTCCTAAAACAGAGCGACCAGAACTGCATACAGTATTCCAGAACAGGCCTCACCAATGTCCTGTACAACCTCAACTCCTATACTCAAAGGCCTGAGCAATGATGGCAAGTGTTAAATGCCTTCTCAACCATCCTAACTGCAGTTCAGACATGCAACGTTAACGTTAACTCTATCTCTCTCTCCCTCCCTCCAGATGCTGCCAAACTTGCTGTGTTTCTCCAGCATTTTGTTTACTTCAGATTTCCAGCATCTGCAGTATTTTGATTTTATCAAAGTGTTGGATAGCATCTGAATATCACACAGGAACAGGATCTGATTATAGTGCATTGCATAATTGAAGAGTCAGAACTGACTCAGGTGGCATCAAGAATTGCCACTTGAGCAATTTAGCAAGGAACATCTAATAGAACCCAGTATCTTGAGGAAGAGCAAATGGGGCAACATCAAGAAAGCTTTACTCTCTAGCTAACTCCACCCTGCGCCTGCAACAAAAGTGTTTGATGTGGAGAATGCAGACGGATCTTTATTCTGTATCAAACCAATGCTTCACCTACCCAGGTACTGTTTGAAATAAACTGCTCAGATTCTTTTGTGCTTTGTTTTTATTTCAGATCTCCAGCATCCATTGTATTTTTTGATTAAAGGGTTGCCTTACTCTGTAACTGAACCTGCGACGTACCTGTCCTGGAAGTGTTTGACAGGGACAATGTAGAATGAACTTTACTCTATAATTCTGTGCTGACTGTCTCTTCCCTTGGGAGTATTTATTAGGGACTTACATTAAAGCAATTACAGTCTAGTAATTTGGTTTCTCTCTATCTGGTGCTTGTTACAGATACAAGATGATTGGAAGTATGTTGCCATGGTAATTGATCGGATCTTCCTCTGGATCTTCATCCTGATTGGCATCTTGGGAACAACCACCTCTTTCCTACAGCCCCTAATGAATGTAACAGAGTTGTGAATGTCAGAGATGGGTAACTTGTTGTAAATACAGGAGAGTCCTCGATTATTTTGTGAAAGAGCTAGTCAGAACCCCTATCAGCACTGTGCATTGAGGGAGAGCTGGCTTATACAACAGATCTAGAAAGAAATTATAGCTATTGGAGAACATCTTTTTCTGTACCTTAGAGATACTTGCTATGGTGTACTTGCATGTTTTTTTTAAAATTAGTATTAGCAAAATTTAGTTACAGAGCTTACATGTAATAAATGTGCTGTCAAATCTGACCAACTAGAATCTCGGAAGCTAATTTTTACAACTGCAATAACTGGCTAATATAGCTCTGAGACTGCAACATTCAAGTTGTAAAAAAGGATATTTCCTACAACTTTTAGATCAAGCACGCTGTCTTTCAGCCAAGAGGCAGTTGACACTTATCAAGTGATTAAAAGTTCAAGACATGGGTATTTCATATCAGCCATTACAAACCTGAACCCACCAAACAATAACTTTCAGTTCCGAGTTTGATCCTGCCCTCAGACAGCTGACTTGTTTTTTGTTCACAGGATGAGGGTGTCACTGGCTAGGACAGCATTTATTGTCCATTCCTAATTGCCCAGAGGGCAGTTAAGAATCAACCGCATTGCTGTGGCTTTGGAGGCAGTTGGCAGTTTCTTAAGGACCTGATCGGCTTTTCTGACAATTTACAATGGATTCACGGTCACTAGACTTTTAATTCCAGACTTTTATTGAATTCAAATTTCACCATATGCTGTGGCAGGATTCCAGGTCCCCAGAACATTAGCTGGGTCTCTGGATTAATAGTCCACTAGGCTGTCAACTCCCCTTACTACAGTCATAGAGATGTACAGCATGGAAACTGACCCTTCGATGCATCATGTCCATGTCATACTAGATATCCTAAATTAATCTAGTCTTATTTGCCAACAGTTGGCCCATATCCCTCCAAACCCTTCCTATTCATATACCCCTCCGGATGCCTCTTAAATATTGCATTGTACCAGTCTCCACCACTTCCTCTGGAGGAAATTCCATACATGCACACCCTCTGCGTGAAAGAGTTGCCCCTTAGGTCCCTTTTAAATCTTTCCCCTCTCACCCTAAACCTATGCCTTCTAGCTTTGGACTTCCCTACCCCAGGGGAAAAAGACCTTGGCTATTCACCCTATCTATGCCCCTCAAGGTTTTATTAACTTCTGTAAGGTCACCCCTCAGCCTCTGATACTCCAGGAAAAATAGCCCCCAGCCTATTGAGCCTCTCCCTATAGCTGAAACCCTCCAACCTTTGGTACATCCTTAAATCTTTTCTGAACCCTTTCAAGTTTCACAAACTCTTTCCTATAGCAGGGAGACTAGAATTGAACACAGCATTCCAAATAAAAAAGTGGCCTAGCCAATGTCCTGTACAGCCACAACAAGCCCTCCCAACTCCTATACTCAATGCACTGACCAATAAAGACAAGCACACCAAACACCTTCTTCACTACCCTGTCTATGTGACTCCACTTTCAAGGAACTATGAACCTGCAATCCAAAGTCTCTATGCTCGGCAACACTCCCTGGGACCTCACCATTAAATGACGAAGTGCTGCTCTGATTTGCCTTACCAAAATGCAACAATCCTCACTCCTCAGCCCATCGGATCAAGGGCCCGTTGTACTCTGACGTAACCTTCTTTGCTGCCATCGTCATCGGCAAACTTACTAACCGTACCTCCTATGTTCACATCCAAATGATTTACATAAATGACAAAAAGCAGTCGACCCAGCACCGATTATTGTGGTACACTGCTGGTCTCAGGTCTCCAGTCCAAAACCAACCCTCCATCACTACTCTGTCTCCTACCTTTGAGCCAGTTATGTATCCAAATGGCTAGTTCAGATCATATTCCATATGATCTAACCTTGCTAACCAGTCTACCATGCAGAACCTTGTCAAACACCTTAATGAAGGTCATGTAGACAATGTGCACCATTCTGCCTACATTAATCCTTTTTGTCACTTCTTCAAAAAACTCAATCAAGTTAGTAAGACATGATTTCCCACACAAAGTCATGTTGATTATCCTTAATCAGTCCTTGCCTTTCCAAATAAATGTAAATCCTGTCCCTCAGAATACCCTCCAAAACTTACCCACCACTGATGGCTGTTGCTGGATCATAAGCAAACCAGTTAAATTGGCAAAGGCAGCCCGAGGACCTGATATCTACTAGAGGGATCAAACATACAAATTCCATCCAGCCTGTCCCACTCACTCCACCAGAAAGTCATATTATCCTGTGGGGAACACGAGAAACACAGATAAAAATCTGTGCCACGCAAACAACTTGAACATTTCTGACTGGTGAATTACTCAGTGAATCGTAGAATCCCTACAGTATGAAAGCAGGCCATTTGGCCCGAGTCACACCACCCCTTCAAAAAGCATCCAACCCACATCCATCCCCCTACTCTATGCCTGTAATACTGCATTCCCCATGGCTAATCCACTCAACCTACACATCCCTAGACACTATGGGGCAATTTAGCATGGCCAATCCACTGAACATGCACATCTTTGGACTGTGGGAGGAGATCCACACAGACGGTGTTTGCCAAGGGTGGAATCGAACCAGAGTTTCCTGGCGCTGTGAGGCAGCAGTGCTAACCATGAGGCACCGTGCTGCCCTTATGTCATCAGACAACCCCTGGATTAATAGCACACAGTATATTTTGTATGCATTGATCACCATTATAGTCAGACATTTCCAACTAGCAGGTGCGCAGGTGTGGAGGTCAGCTGAGATCGGAATTGTGCTCGTGTATGAAATCCATCTGATGAATCAATCATGTCTTAGCTCACTGGAAAAGAATAGACTTTTAGACTTAGTATGTCTGAAAATGTGCTGAGAAACTGGCAAGTCAGCATGAAGAGAATCACTAAAGGGAGCAAGGTGAAGAGACAACTACATACAATAATCCCGAGAAGGGAAAGTGGGAGAACTGGTGCCAATGTACCGATGAGTGAACTTGCTGTATGACAAACATTTTCTTCTACCTTCCATTTCAAAAAAGGCATTAACCCATAGGCAGGCCAAAGGAATCTTATACAAGACTGCGGGCATGTTTGTTCATTAAAGGCACACAGTGATTCAACCTATATCAGCCTTTGCCTTTCCTGTAACTTTCCTGAGTAACAAAACGTGTGTACTGGGATTTTATTTCCTTGCAACAGATGAGGCAAACTCCATCTTCACAGCTTATTAAAGCACACATACGTAGTTAAAGATTGTAAGTACGCATTTTGCTTGGGGTGTCAACGCTGAGTGCAATGCTGTTGCCAGTTCCGTGATATCCAATAAAAAATTAAAATAGGTCACTAACCTAGTGTTTTAAAGAAAAAAAGTCCACGTTAATGCACCATGATCTTAATGTGGATTTTTAACATGTCAAAAACAGATCTAACACTTATAATATAGCAACCCATTACAACTGCTCCAGAGTGACAGAGTCAGAGCACTGACAGTCTGATCTCAGATCTACATTGTTGGTGTCAGCCTGACTCAGTTGGTAGAACCTTGGCCTCAGAGGAAGGTTTATACTTGTTCTGTATTATAACCTAGCCTGACCTTTCAGCACATTATGGAAAGTCTATTTCTTTAAATAAGACAGTTAACAGAGGCCAATCCAGCCTGTTTAGGTGGACAAGGGTAGGAATTCACCAAAACAAAAATCACGTGCTACCATCTCATGATACAACAGCATATAGTGGCTGACTAACCACATTAATGAGTTGACAACAGGCACAAAAATAACACCAAGATGTTTGGGAATCAAACGCCCTAAGCGGGTGACACACAAAAGGTTACGTAACTAATTAATTAATCAATCAATATCAGAAGAAAAGTATTAGACTGAATCAACACTAGCTGCTTCCACGGTCTCCATGGACAGCCTGATCCACAGACTGACCACCCACTCACTCATTAAAACACGATGGTCACTTTTACCTCTGTGCAAATGAGTGGGTTTTCAATAAGTTAAACAAAATCTCACTCGATACTCCTTCTAAAGATTAGTATAGTTTTTATTCTCAATTCCAGTGCAGTTTGAATCCTCGCTTTCTACTGTTCCAGACACAGCTTGTCATAGAACTACGTTATTGCATCCACTATTCCTGAAAACGGCAATCATTTCACCCCAAAATATCTTTTTACAGTGAGAACACACAAATTACATAATCCAGCTGTATCCAGTTCTTGCCGCCCAGTTATAGGAAGGATATTAAGCTGGAAAGGGTTCAGAAGACATTTACCAAGATGTTGCCGGATATGGAAGGTTGGAGTTATCAAGAAAGGTTGGAGAGGCTGGGAGATTTTTCACCGGAGTGTTGGAGGTTGACAGGTGACCTGAAAGAAGTTTATAAAATAATGGAGGGGTATAGATAGGGAAAAGACAACTACCATCAACTCTAAGATGGGGAATTTCAAGACTAGGGGGCACATTTTTAAGTTGAGAGGAGAGAGATTTAAAAAAAAAGACATAGGAGGTAAATTTGTTTTTTAAAATACAGAGGGTGGTTCGCATGTGGAATGAATTTTGTGAGGAAGTGGTGGATGCAGGTACAACTGCAATGTTTAAAAAGACATTTAAATAAGTACATGAATAGGAAAGGTTTGGGTGAATATGGAGGTGGGACTAGCTTAGTTTGGGATGTGGTTCAGCATGGACTGATTGGGCCGAAGGGTCTGTTTCTGTGCTGTATGACTGACTGTATAACACAACCCAAGATTCTGGATACGGTTGCTGAGCAAGTGGCTAGTTCCCACTGTGTCCTGACAAGCGTTCCTGTTTTCAATAAGTGCCATTTGTTGTTTTTTGGGATTTTTTGTACAGATTTATCATGTCACGAAGGATGCATTTTTATTAACTGGATACCAAAACATTATGGGATTTAAATAAATGCAAAGGCATTACCAAAAACTTCATCTATACTTGGGGTGATAAACAAGGGTAAGAAACAACTTGAAACGAAATGAGATACACAACCCAGAGAAAGTATTAGAGTAAAGTTTAATGGTCAACATATTTGTAAAGTAACATCATACAATAATTAAAAACAGTCAAACGTAATCTTAAGCAGTTATTCAGAAATTGACCAGTTGTTGAGGCTGGCAAGGTGACATTTGTGTCCCTTGCTGAAAGCTTGGGGCAAATAGAGACCATCACTGTGTAATGTAAATCCAGTCCACACAAGGAAGCCACTGCTGGATAGCAGATAACTTTACGAAGGCAGGTGAGCTGGATGTGCACCATAGTACTAGAAGCTCCTATTGTCAGGTTAAAAATAAGGCAATTGTCATGGAAATTCTCTTAAACCATGCAAGTTATCCAAAGCAGACCGAATGGTAAAACTGTTTGTAGCAACTTCCCCCAACCCAAAACTGAATGACACTGGAGACACAAGTCTTCATCAGCAACACAAGTCATGCAAAATGGAAGAGGTCAGAAACGTAAACACTCCAGGAAGAACTGCTCCAATTGCATTTTTAAATTGATGCAATTTAAGGAGGAACTTTAGAATAAAGTTGTTGCCTTCAGGAATGGCCAGTGGTGAGGCAAGACAAGTTCCAAGCATTACAACTTTCTTTTTGGGAGAGAGCAGCATCAGGGGATTTAAATGTATTCACATTGATAGAAGGGTTGTATAAACCAAACTGATAGACTTGCACTCAAAAAGTAGGGAACGTGACAGATGACTGTATATTTCAGTATTTATCACATGGGGCATTAACATGAGGCAGTAACACTAAGTGACTAATTGCCCATTTTGACAAGAAGCCAGCTTTAGGGAGTTCACCCCAAGTTCTGACACAGAAATTAGCCTTAAAATACAAAGCACGCCCTGTGGCAGGAGCACATCTCCTCCACCGCAGTTTAACAGAACAAATGTCAGTCACAAGGTTTTGTTGAAATGGGCATATCTTTAAAAACAAAGAAACTGGGTGACTCACTTCATATTGCAGACAGAAAGATCCTAGCGACCTGTAGCAGCCAAGTACTTACCACAGCCAGTGCTCTCCCCACAATGAAAGCTTCCTGCTGGAACAATTGAGTCTGTACAGTTACATGTTCTGGCATGCACTTCGCACACTCTCCTGCTGCTTCTGTTGGGCAGGAGCACTGCAGGTACTGGCCAGTAAAGCTAAAGGGCTCCTCCGGCAAATATGAGTTCCAGGGCGGCTTGAATGTCCCCTCCGGTGGCCTGCAGAGCCCGCAGACTCAGCTCGCTGTCTTGGATCCCCATGTCCCTGAGCTGCTGGAGCTGTGGCTGCCACTGACTCTGAAGGAGACATAAGGTCTACAGGGTCAAATTTTATTCCTTCCTCCAGGTAAAGCTTAACCATATATCAAAACAGAGCAGAAGAACTCCATTTGACTAAACTGAGAGAGAATAAAGGAAATTCAAGACACCTTCCACCCACAACAATCCCAGAGTAGTCCACTGATAGATCCTACAGTAGTTGTGAGGCCACTTCCGAGGGCAGTTCAGTGTGGAGTCAGAGACCAGATTGAATAAAAGGTGGCAGGTTTCCTTCTCTAAAAGGACAGCAATGCACCAGTTGTGTTTTCCACCAATTTCATAATTTCTATTACTGAAGGTTTTATAACACTTTCACCAACCACGCAGATAGGCACACACCTTCCCACAGGGCACAGGTGCAAATGCACACACCCACACAGCCCAATGACAAGCACATAATCTCAACTACACCCACACCTGACCCCATCACCTTACACCTGCATCCTTAAACGCAGAATTTGCAAGCGGATCAAATACAGGAACAGCTGGAGTCATGTGGACTAAGACTCCTAATTGAATCTGACATGGAAAAGTTAGCCAATGATACCCAGGTCAAATGCAGCACCCCAAATAAGATTAGCTCAGTTGGCTTTGTATCGAGGAGTGGACGAAACTTGATCAAAAGGCACCAACCTGAAGTGCTGAGATGTTCGAAGCTTGCAGAGCTTGCTGCAGTGCCTGGCTGAATATATCGTGGCTGATGGGGGTGGCCGATGGCACCGAGTTCATCACTGGAGACAGACCTGACGCTGTGCCCTGTGAGGACAGAGAAAAAGAAGTCGAGACTGGTATAAATGAGGAGCTGATGCACTCGGGGAAAGTAAATGCACCATTGAGTGAGGTTGGCTCACCTGTGTTCCTGTGGTCGGAGTGGCAGCACTACTTTCTGGGGTACTGGCCAATGCCAGCGCAGTCGCCAACTCACTCTGTGTGATAGGTCGAGGTCCAACTGAGCCACTGTAGCCCAATGTGGCTGGACGGGAGCTAGAGGGGTTGCTGGAGGAAGCAGTGGCCCGGGCCTGTGAAGACAACAGGAAGGTATTAATTGAAATTGGACATAAAGATATTTTGTCAAAGCTTTCCATCTTGTACTCATCAGGATCTCTCAAGAATATCAATTCAAGGGGAAGACCAACATAAACACTGCATGAGAGGAGAGCACTGAGTGGCAAAGGTGTATCCATGGAAAATGCATCTATTAATGCTGATCGACAATTAATAGCCTGTTAAGAGAGTCCACTTGCCAACTAATCAGCATTCCTCATGCTGGATAAATGCTGGTTTTCCTTTTAAATTGATATTCTTTAAAATATCCTGATCAGAACAGAATGAAAAGCTTCAACAAAAATGTATTTTTTTCAGCAATGCTCAAATTCCGTACCAGCAAATATGACTATAAAAGAATATTAACTATTGATGGTAGGAACATTCAACATGCCAAGTGTCAGTTGCAGGACAGTGAGGTTATACAGCCCTCTGTATTACCATTTATGATTATTAGATCTTTAGTCCATAGCTGCACTTGGAGATACTTTTTAGTCAAAAAAAAAACCGCTTCCATTTTGCATTAGTGGTATTAAAATCAATTGTTGACTAAATATAATCAACTAAGACACACTTAGAATTGCACAAAACCACCCCCTCTCAAAAAAAGTGACACACACTGAAGAAAACTGGTTTCCTTTTGACCACATTAGTAAACTCAGTGTATACCGGCAACCTAGTGCTAAATATCATGATGATATTTAACTTGGTGTACTTGCATCAATTTAGGTACACAATAAAACACTTTTCACAAACAGAAGCACACTCTCTAGCTAGCTGGAACTTTGGGGTTTACCTGATGAAACTCATCTTCATCGTCAGAAAGCCCGTCAAAGAGGAATCCACCTGGAACATGAAGCAAAAAGAAATTGTGGCTTTTATCAATGTGAATATCACAACACTCCCCTCCTCCATGATCACTTAAAGCAGAAAGCAAAAGACATGGCAGAAATCATGAGTGAATCAATTATCATTTCAGATACAGCCAGCATACCAACTTGGAGACTGCAAGAACCGTATATGCTGGAGTCACAGTCAACATGGCGTGGAGCTGGAGGAACACAGCAGGTCAGGCAGAGGAGTAGGAAAATTCAACAATTTTAATATTCCACCTTGGGAGCCGACAACCCGATGGCCCGAATTCATAGAATTCGCTGTTTTAAGATCTCCCACATCCAGCCTCATCCCACGTCCAAACCTCCCTCTGATGCCCACCTCCTTGACATGACACAACCTGCCCATCTTCTTCCCCACCTATCCACCCCATCCTTCCCACTAATCAATCCCTACTATCCCTACCAGCATCAACTTATCACCATCCCAACTACCTTCTTGACCTGACACAACCTGTTTATCTTTCCCACTTTTCCACTCCACCCTTCCCACTGACTATTCCCCACCACCATCCCACCTACCTTTAATTAGTCAGTGTCCTAAAGGTAAAAGGCATTCCATTTATAATTGAACTTGGCAGAGGTTTGGGAAGAGGGATTTCTGAAAGTGAACATGGGGAAACATGAGGGATAGGAACAGAAGTTGAAGACTTGGTGTTATTATTAAGGTGACCAAAGCTTTGGGCAATGAGTTAGGTTTAGGGGAATATCTTGAAGTTGAAGACCCATCTCAATGTGTCAACCAATTTTCCTACTTTCCGTTTCTCTACAAAATCTAGCAGTGTAATTTCTAGCATTTCCTGCCTTCCATTATTTCCCCCTTCACTACAAATCTCCCACCATCCACCCCTCCTTAAGTGAAAAAGGCGTGAAACAGGGAATAAAAACTAGAGCCTGCCAACGGGTTAATGTTTTAGTTGCAGTTCTTTACTGGAATGCCTGGTCCTGCCAGTCTGAAGGATGGCATTGAAAATAATAGCCTAGTTTTTTTTTCTGTACGTGCACGCTTTGGAATTCCTATTCATCTCTCCTAAACATCTCTCCTTCTTCAAAATACTCCTTAAATCTAACTTATTGCTCAAAGCTTTGGTCACCTGTAATAATAACACCAATTCTTTTGTCTGATAATACTCTTGTGAGTTGCCTTGGGACACTTTAATACATTACAGGAGTTATATAAATGAAAGGTCTTGGTGTTGAGGAAAGTCTTACCTGGAACCTCACTGTAAGAGCTGGATGGAATACTCCTCGAGTTACTAGCAGCAGCTGGCGAAGGGGCCTCTCCAGTTACAGAGTGTAGGACCAACACCATCGCATTAACTAATGCAGGATGTGAAGAAATCAACCTGCAGAGGGAATAACATACATTAAAGTCCAACACTTCAACATCAGCATACAGCAGATTAGCAAAGGAGCTCATAAACTGCTTAATGTAAGTGAATTTTTCATGGCAAGGACTCTCAACCCAGAGGCACATAATAAGAAGAGTACGATTCATCTTGAAACGGTTAATATTGAGGAGTATGATAAGCACTAGATTTTCCTTACTCCTCTTCTTGAATAACGGTACCATTAGCTGCCCTCCAATCTTCTGGCATCTCTTTGGTGGCCAGAGAGGATGCGAAAATTAAAAACAGAGCCCTTACAATCTCCATTATTGCATCCCAGGATACACATTTATATCTCACACATATTTTGTAATGCACGACATTATATATACATATCCTAATCACTATCCTAATAGTCAGGCTACATTTTTCTTAGTGGAAAGCAAGAGGCAAGCAAATTCAGACCCAGATATCATACCCATACAAATCCCAATGGTCACTCAGCAAGTTCCCAATGAAAAGCAGCCAGTAACACAACTTGCCCACCTGTATGCAATTGCTGCATCACTCTACTCAGGCAGTGAGCTAACAGAGGGGCAAAATGGACCTTCATTAGCACCATTCAAATGCCTGTCCAGAAGCCAATAGTTAAGAATAAGCTGCAGACCCGAGACCCTTGGAATGGAAGTTCCATAGCAAAGACTGTTTCCAACATGATTGCTACGTCTGACATTTATGCAGTCAGCACTTACGTGTCCAATAGGTTTGGGTCAGTGAAGAGCACAAACAAATCTTTGTCCTGCAAAACACCTAGAAAATAAAATTAAAAAAAAAAATAAAGGTTTGAATAAATTCTGTTTATGCACATCAAAAATGTAAGCATGTCTGGATTGAGAGGTTTAAATCCCATTAAACAAGTGCGCAATCTCTGCTCGCATGCTAATACAGTAGTGAAGGAATGATGTGCCCCAGCAAAGATACCTGTTGAATGTGACACCAAATTTATGCCCATTTCCCTATTCAGCCAAAACTTAATAACCCAATTCCACCACAAAATAAAAGGCAGGAAGATTTTCTGGCCAACATTCCTTTATCAGCCAAAGATACTGTTTATCTGGTAATTTATCAGAAGACTGGGTTTGGGATCTTGCTGGATGCAAAAAGTTGCTACATCTGACAATGCAACGACTTTTCAATTGAAAAATGTAATTAGAATGTGAAGGCACCAATATAATTGCTAGTCGTTGCTTAGCTACAAGTAGGTTCTTCATTGGTTAAAGTTACCATGAAGGTCCAGACTTATCAACCTCTTGCCTCCCCGGTGGTATAGTGACCCTCTGTGTAAATCATCACTGGTCATCTCTCTCTCTAGTGAGAGCAGCCCCATGGTCCTCTAGGACTATAGAGACTTTACCTTTTTGTTTCACAAGTACATTCCACAAATGAACAAATCTTGTAGAAATGAAATCATAGTTATTGATAGCTATGGAATTTACCTGAAGTTCTTTGAGACGAATGCACAGTATCGTCTTATTGTTTTATGACACATTAATGCAGCTCTTGTTAGAAGCATTTCCTTTCTTTTGCCATCTGGCTTGTGCAGTCTGTTTATGTGTTGTACACAGACCCAAGCAATCCTACAAACAATAGATCAGGTCTAAGCTCTCAGATCTAACAGGACCATATCGTGAATGATGGTGGTCAATTAAACAACTCACTGAAGGAGACGGCTCTACAAATATCACCATCTTCAATGATGGGCAACTCCGTACATCAGTACAAAAGATATGCCTGATGTATTCGTTAGCATCTTCAGCCAGAAATGCCAAGTTGATGATCCATCTCTGCCTCCTTCCGAGGTCCCCACATCATACATGCCAGTCTTCAGCCAATTTGATTAACACCACATGATATCAGGAAATCGCTGAAGGTACTAGACTTTGCAAAGGGTATGGGTCCTGACAACATTCCGGCAATAGTACTGAAGACTTGTGCACCAGGACTTGCCACGTCCAAAGACAGACTGTTTCAGTACAACTACAACAACTGTCCCCTCCAAGCCACACTCCAGACTTGGAACTCTATCCTCATTGCTTCACTGCTACTGGATCAACATTCTGGATTTCCTTCTCCTGTAGCTCTGTGGGTGCTCCGGCATCAGAGACAGCAGTGGCTCAAGAATACAACTCACCACCTTCTCAAGGGTATTTAGGGATGGGTAGCCAGTATTGATGCTAGAGAACAGAAGTTGGTTCGACCACATTGTAATTGACAATTCACAATCATAGACTTACGCAGTGCCTTCCACGACCTCAGGACATTACAAAGCAGCAGGAAACCTGTGAAGGCTCACACTATCAAAATCATGACCAGATTAATTATTTTTTGAGACATTGTTTGAGGAAATATATTGGTCAGGGCATTAGGGAGAACCTTCCCATTTTCAAAAGAACAGGTACAGTATCTTTTATATCTACTCAACTCAACAGATGGAGCCTTGGTTTAATGTCTTATTCAGACGATAGTGTACTGATACTTTGTACCTTGATACTGTACTGCACATGCTGGTCTAAGTTAGATGCTCAGTTCTCTCCTATGGGACTTAAAGCTAACATCTGATTCAGCAGCAAGAGCATTACCCAGTGAGCCAAGGCTGACACCGTAGGGATTCACAAACAGATAAAGTATCAAGAGACTTACTGACAAGCGGTTTTCCAACAAGTCTGCCTCTTCAAGAAAGAGCAAGAGTTCATTAAGAACAATGACTAATGTGTTTATTTACAAAAATATTTGAAAAATGAAATGCTCACATGTAAAATAGGTTGCTGAACACATGAAATGTATTCACTGTTGTAGGAAACAAGTACTTCGAGAGGTGAACAGTTTTAAGATGCTCTGAAGTTCTGAGCGGCAGTTCTACACAAGTTCGTGTTTGTGGGATCATTATGAACCACGCTGTCCATCTGTGACTCGTCATAGTATATTTTAAAACTAGTTCTTGGAATATTCATGACAAAGACACATTTAAAATAGATGCAAGATATTCATAGAATCCCTACAGTGTGGAAACAGGCCCTTCAGCCCAACAAGTCCACACCGACCCTTACAGCATCCCATCCAGACCCACCCCCCTATAACCCACCTAAGCTACACATCCCTGAACTCTACGGGCAACTTAGCATGGCCAATCCACCTAACCTGCACATCTTTGGACTGTGGGAGGAAACCGGAGCACCGGGAGAAAACCCACGCAGACAAGGGGAGAATGTGCAAACTTCACACAGTCGCCCGAGGGTGGAATTGAACCCGGGTCCCTGGCGCTGAGAGACAGCAGTGCTAACCACTGAGCCACCGTGCCTTCCCATTTACTGCCAACCTCTCTTGTTCTAAGGTGATGGTGAGCCTTTTCCTCAAAATGCTACAATCATTGTGGTGATGGCATTTCCACAATGAGCGGTAGAGAATTCAAGCAGAAGTAGGCCACTCAGCCAGAGTCTGATTCGCCCTTCAACAAGATTATGGCTGATCCAATCGTGACATTACCTCCGTATTTCTGCCCCCTCATAACAATCAACTCCAACATCAAAGTTCTGTCCAACTTGATCTCGAATACATTCGATTATCAAACTTCACAGCTCTCTGGGGAAAGAGTATTCTAAAGAGCAATCAACTTCAGAGAAGAAATTTCTCTTCATCTCCATCTTAAATGGGAGATCCCTTATTTTGAAACTGTACCACTGGTCCTCGAGGGAAAACATTGTCTCAGCACCCAATATGCCAAGCTCTCCTCAATCTTCTGTGTGATAATAGATTCTCCTCTCATTCTCCTAAACTCCAAAGAGCATTACAGCTAACCTGCATGCCTTTTCCTGAAGGAACGCCAATGTGTGTCCAGGTCAGATGACCTCCTCGATGTGGAATAACTTAAGTCATGAGAATGCCACTTTACTGCGAGAAAGATAAATCTTTCAAACTCACCTAAAGCAATGGGGTCATTGCTGAGCCCGGGTGTGGCAACAATGATCTGGTCCAGTGACTCCTTGTTCGCCAACATCTTGAAAACCTGCAATTGATTTAATAAAGCAACTTGAGGTAGAACACAGCATAATGTCAGTAGAACATCATGGTCTTTCCAAACTGCCACAAGTTTTGATTGACTCTAGTTTTTAATGTAAACTTACAATTCTGGGCAGTAAACTGTGCAGATTGATAATATCTTTCTTCATTTGTTCTCAGGGTAGGGCAGGGGTGAGTGACGAAGGTCAGGTAGCACTTAATTTCTTTTTGCTGGAATGCAACGTCGCTGTGAACCATCCTTTTAAAGGACTTCACCAGATTTTAATTTCACGCACAGTTTATTTGTGAAGTATAGCAAGGACGTAATAACTGGTCAATGCTGCAAATTAGATCTAGGCTGCAGTTTGTACATTGAACTTGTTTTAATCTCACAACTGCTATGTTTCACTGTGTGGTATTTTTCAGACCCCCAGCTATTGGCTCACACAAGATATACATCAGTTGATAGTGTGGAAAATTACTAATAGCGTCAACAGACTGGACGCCAATATTGAGGGTAGATGGGGCTCCTTAGTCTTCTCAGCAACTCATCCAGGAGAATGACACTTAAAAATAGAATCTGCATCCTCACAGCTGTTACATTTGTGCAATACATTGCGCCAGTACAGTGTTAGCTGCCTTGGACAAAGGACAAAGAGTGAGATAGGTTTCACATAAACCCCACCCACTCTCTCCCACAAATTGCAATCCAGACTTGCACAAGTAAATGACTCATAAAACAAAGTAACTTTTAAACAATCTCCAGGCTAATGTTCTTATGACATTCTTCAGCTTGCAGTTGCATTCCTTTTGGCAAATAAGCAGGTTCTCTCTTTTTGTTTTGAAGTATAGATTTTCACTCAAAGTACAGGTGGGTTTTTTTTGGAGTACCATGTATGGCTTTCAACATCTTTCCGTCTCCTCTCCTTTCACGTATTCAGCAAAGCAAAGGGATTAACAACAGGTCCAAATGGAACAAAGACATGAATTTAACTTCAAAGGGCTATCCTACTTTCAATTCTTCAACCAATGGTGGCTATGGACCCCAAACTCGAATTCCCTTCTTCAACCTCTCCATTCTCCACTCCTCTTTGACATTCTCCTTCAAATTTACTTTGCACAACCTTTGTATCACCTAGTAACTGATATGACTGAACAACATATGTTGTTTGACAATGCTCCTGTGATGTATAAACACAAAGAGTTGACATTTTATTTCACTACTTTCATGGGATGTGCATGCTGCTGGCTAGGTCTCATTTATTGTTCGTCCCTAAATGCCAAAGAGGTGCCTTCTCAAAAGCAAACCACGTAGTGCAAAGACACGCACAGTGCTATTTGGGATGGAGTTCCATGAATGTAACCGAGCAACAGTGAAGTGCATTAGCAATAGTGAAGCTTCAGACTTTCACTGATTCAATGCACCTTCAAGAGTGACACTGAGCCACAGAGACCACAGGAAACCATTAGGGTCTGATCCCCAGTCTGTTCTATCCAGTTAATCTCAACTAGAGCACCTGCAACTGGCCAAGCACAAAAAGTGTGGCAGGAAAAATAAATAACCTGCTCATCATTATTCAGCGACTCTCCTTGGGAAGTTGGCATGTAAAGCCCAGGGTAGAACAAGGCTGGGCTCAACTGCAAAGCTACTGCAGTCAAATGCCCACATACCCAAGAGTCAGACAGTCAGAGGCAGCAATGTACCTCAGTCAGTACCAGCATCACAACAGGACTCATCATTTGGAGGGAGGGCAAGTGAGAAAGAATAACAGTTTGTAAAACAGGAGCAGATCAAAGGTCCAGAAAATTTCACTTACCGCCTCCCTGTAGGCAGGGCTGGCATGCAGTGCTGCCTGGAGAACACGGAATTCCCGGGCTGCGGCTGCCTGCTCCACAGGCTCTGGGAAGAAGGGACATGTCAGTGCACTCTGAAATACACAGGCCAAATGCACACTGCACCAACAATTACTTTTCCCACTGACTCCCATCACTTCTACCAATTTCACCCTCAGAACAAAGCCACGTATTCCTAGTTAAACAAGTGCCGGTGTCAGCCTTATCCTTTCAAACTAATAATCCACTTCTTCCTAAATGAGCCCAGGTCCCAGCCTCTGTGACCACTGCTGGCAGCTCATTCCATCCATATCATTAAACCCTCCCTTAAACTCAACCTTCACAAGCTGCGTCGACTTGGCAATCTTAAAAATATCATTAAAAGGTTTATTTTCTTTATTTGACTAAGTCATTTGGGACCATCTCCAATTTATATTTTCAAGGTTGAAGAGCTATTGGGAACTAAGTAAATTACTTGACAAACCCCCACACAGCTGGCTTGTTTGTTGGCACTAGTGTCACAAAATCTATTCTTGCATTATGAAGCTACTACAGGGCAGCATCCAACTGAAGCTTAGTGCTTTGGTGCAGAGATGTTCAAAGTGATAAAGAAGTCTGGACAGAACAGTAGGGAGAAACTGTTCCCACTGGTGGATGGATTGAGAAACAGAGGGTACAGATTTAAGATAACTGCCAAAAGCAGCAAGTCAGACACAAGGACAAACAATCTCACACAGCAAGTGGTGAGGAATACACTGCCTGAGTGTGGTGGAGGCAGAGCCAATCTAAGCATTCAAAAAGGGAATTAGACTGTTGGCTTAAGAAAAAAAGCCTACAGGATTACAGGGAAAAGGTGAGGGAGTGGCTAAAGTGAATCACTCCATCAGAGGACCTGCACAGATACAATGGGCTGAATGGCCCCTTTCTGTGATGTGTTTGATCACAGTGACCACATCGAGTATTTATACTCCACATCAATCCACGTCTGACCACCGAGTTGGCACAGACTTCGATCCAAACTGAAGTGTTTAATATCCACCTTATCCACAAACCCAACTACTCCCTTATCACTCCATCCAACTATCAGCCAAACTCATTCATGGCCACACTTCCACTTCAGCCTGACCAGAGTTCCCTCCCACCTGAAATATAATTATCTTAAATGCATCTATTTGCCATAACCACTCTGAGGTAGGAAGTTCACCACTGTGTTAAGAACTGTCCCTTCACTTCCCTGTTGGATTTATTACAGCAATGCTTTATAAATCACAATTTTCCAAACCAGGTTTCTGCTCTGGTTCTGGCCAGGACTTCTTCAGGACGTGGATTGTGGATCCAGCTTGAATCCCATAGAAATCCAGCGTCTGCTCATCCTTCAGTTTCCGTCCGCAATACACCAGCTCTGCAAACAATAAAAAACACCAAAAAAATCAACCAGCAAAGTAACAAACCATCGGTCTGCCTGACTTCGAACAAGGAATGCCATGAAGTCAGGAACAGGAACTCCAACGACTGCAGTACCAGCCGCTGGTTCAGAGCCAGTGCTCTGAATCAGGAGGCTGTGTGTTCAAGTCAGACAGCAAGGCCAAGAACATGCATTTACAAACTAACTTCAAATTCAGCACATCATCCAGGACACGTTGGAAGGGAGTCCATGGTGGGGGAGGGGAGTGTGGGGGAGGG